CAATGCTCGTGCAAAAGTTCATCTGGTTTGAGTCCGTGGGGCTTATTCAGAAGCTCCAGAGAGCTTTCATCTGTGTTCAGTCACTAATCAATGCAATACGTTTGATATGTCTGTAATAGTATGAAAGTCCTAGAGACCGGGAAGGGAATAGGAATCAAAATATCCTTTCGGAAAATCTTTCCAAATTGAGGGCCACATTTGTTTTGCTGGGGGAGGGGGGGGGAGGCACTTTAAAAAAAGAAGAAGAAGAAGAAGAAGAAGCAAGCTCAGAGCAAATTTGAAATTCAGTGTCATGTCATTAGTATTTCCATCTCATTAACCTGAATCAAAATGCCTGCTCTCTCTGTGACACATTCAATTTTACAATTCGGCCAGGTCATTCCGGGCTGTGTTTTCGAGGGATCACGTGGAGTTTACACTAAGGAATTCTGCTCCAAGAGAGAAACTGTGAAAAGTGTTTAGGATCCCCAGATAAATGCCGTATGCAACCAGAAACATGCTGTATGCAAGAAACCAGACGCTATGCTTCAAGGTGCATCATGCAAGCAGTCAGCAGTACTGGTTCTGTCACCAAAGGACGTACAAATCAGCAAAAAGACACACACACACAAAACCCAATCAGCCATTCTTTAACAAGGTTCAAAGGGTCACTGCTGATCACATCAGCGGCTGCATTCCAGGTGCATTATTCCTGGCCTCGCTGATATGTGAGCTTTTCATTTCGTCCAGCACTTAAGAGAGGAAGGTCTTCCACAGAACAAGCCAGCTGACTTCAGTTGGCACGCACTGTTATCAGAAATAATATAATGCTCAGGCACATGGAGAGAAGGAAAATGTGAAAGCCTTGGTTGTTATATATATAAACCAGCATGTACAAATCCCCTTTCTTTTGCATTATTTCAGCATGAGTGGCAATTTCCAGAGGGGGCACAATGTTAAACTGTTGCTGCTTAAAGTCTCTCCCTCCCTCCCTCTTTTTGGAATTTTAAAGCCCAGATATTCTGGTTGGAGTTTTAGACATGCAACGGAGCAGCACTGGCTGATATCTTTTTATAGCACCATGCATATATCTGGTTTTTTTTTTTTTTAAAGATGCCTTATGGCAGCATCCTACAAAGGTAGAATTGACCCAATTAGATTATTCCTCTTTTCTTTTGTCCTCCCCAGGACTTTCCATTCTGCCAAAAGCTCTCCAGAAGTTTGAGCAGAGAGTTTTCACCTCTCCAGCTGCCAGAGCATCTCATCTCAAGCGGAGGTGGTTACTGTACAACCGAACACACTCATACGTGCAAAACAGGCGCTCAGTCGCTTACCTGTAAATTTTGCCTCTGGCTTTATCAACCCTGAATGGCGTCCTGCACTCGCACGGCAACATGCGCAGACTTGTCTCCTGAACACTTTGAAGCCAGGGGGACTCGTGTCCCGTAAGGCTGAAGCAGGATCGAACCACCCAGCCTCCTTTGAACGCCTCGGGTTGCAACTCTCTTAATCACTAGATGGCTGACAACGCTGAGCGGGGCTTCTGTCCCCTGTCCCGGGTACTCCCGTCCTCCCGCCCGCCTCCTGTCCTCCTTCCAGCAAGCTGCAAGGCCATCCTTGCCTTGCAAGAAATGAGCTGCATTCCCACAACCGTTCACTCTTTACTGACTTGTGTTAACCCGCTGCCTGGCTTCACACAACGTACTGATCCACAACTAACCAGAACTGGTTGCATTCGGAGCACACACTAAATCGGGGAGGGGGGGGAGAAAAAGCAGGCTTACCCCCAACCAAACTTCCTGCGTCGGGCGAAGGAAGGCAGACGCACAACAATACGCCCGAGCAAGCGGGCTGTGTGAGCGCCCAAGCCTTTGTTTTGCACACACTGATTTTCCGGGCCGTGGCAAAATCAGCTGCGCGACCGCCAGCCGGAATTCCTTCAAGTCTCTTAACCCCCCCCCCCGTCTCCCCCCATCTCCCAACAGTCCCGGATGGGGCATTCGTTAACGACCGGCTTTGCACGCCCGTTTCTCTGCCCTGCGCTACTTTTGCACGGGCACCGCGGGGGCGCCAGAAGCGCCCTGTCCTCACCCTGGCGCCCCTTCCCCGAATTTGCCACCTCGCGCCGCCGCCGCCCTCACCTGGCTCCGGCTTGCCCCGCGTCCTGCCCGGCCGCTCCGTGTTCCCCCGCTCCCCCCCCCCCCAAGGGGCGCAAATCCGGGCCAGCGCCGTCTCTCCGCCAGCCGGGCTGCTTTAGCGCCGCCGCGCCGCTGCGCCGCGCATCGTCGCTCGCTCGGCAGCACTTGGGGGGGGGAAAGGAGAGGGCGAGCGAGGAGGGCGGGGCGCGGCGGGGCATCCGAAGCGCTAATTGGCTGCTTAGCTCTGTTTGGGCACGCGGGGAAAGCGGCCCGGCGGCGGCGGGGGGCGGTGTGTGTGTGTGTGGGGGGGGGCGAGCCAAGATTGGCTTTGTTGCGCCGATCGCTGGCAGCTGCCAGGCGGGTGGAAGAGATGGGGGGGCGAGGGCGGGGGGGGGGGAGAGAGAGAGAGAGACGGCTGTAATGATATGTGTCGCCGACGGACGGCACGCGCCGCTGCCCCACGTCCCCCCCCTCCTCGGGACGCCTGAGGGGGTGGGAGGAAGGATGGGAGAGAGCGGGGGGGGGGGAAAGGGAGGTGTCCCCGGGGCAGCTGAGCTAATTGCTCCGAAGGCAGGAGGGGCTTTGCAAATTTGCACACCGTCTCCCTGCCCTGCGGCTCTCCGCAAACCCCCCCCCTCCTTTCTCTCCACCCCGGTCCCGCCTTCTGTCCTGGGCGGCGTGAGAAGAGCGCGAGTCGGTCTTCTAGCAAATGCGAGTTATTATCAGTTGTGCAAAACTGCACCCGATCCTAAAGGTGCGAGTACGCGGCTGTCGGTATTCTGATCCAAGATTGAATAGCGAGGCTGGACGCGAGGTTGTGGTTAAGCTGGTATTTTTTGGGGGGTGGGTGGGCGGGGGTGGGCGAGAGAAACGAGCGAATTGGGGGACAACAGCCGTGAGCATCAGCTTGGCTCTAGGCTGCAAAATAAAGCCTCCGTGTTGAGACGTGTACCTTGAAGTGGGGGGGGGGGGAAAGAGAGGACAGGTCTGCCGCCTGCAAGCTTTGTTTGAGTCTTACATGATGTCCAGACAAAACATGACATCAACGTTACCATCTAGTTGACTCAGTCTGGGATCTTTGGTGAAGCCACAGAGGGATTCGTGCCAGCGACTGTTGAGATCCAGCTAGAAATAGTTAACAATTTAACTTGTGATCTCTTTATGTTGGTCATTTGAGCTGGATTTATACAACCTTCCTAACCTGTTTACTAAATTAACCATTTTCTCGGTTACAGCATAACACATTGAACTGGAAACTAATGAAACCGTTTGGATTCATGAAACATAAGAAGCTGCAAAACTGTAACCCAGCTCAACCCATCCAAGGATGACGCTACACTGCGCATACTGTTGTGAAGTCTTTAACTGATCCAAGTTTTACATTTTGCGTGAACCAGCTTTTGACATTTGGAAATCTATCTCTACATTTATTGTAAAGACAAGTTTGTAGTGCAAGAAGTATCTTTGTTTTTGTATATATTGTGGTTGCTAGAAGACATTCAAGATGAAAACAGTCTTTCCAGCAGACTTTCCCGTCTTTCCTCTCATTTTCTATCAGTCTCTTAATATTCTAATATGGACATTTTGTACCCTGAAGTCCCAATGCCATTTGAAGACTCTTGAGTACTTAAAAAGAAATCTTGGCTTTAGGTCAAGATTTCCAATAGCAACAGCTCTGGTTGATAGATTTTTCTTCCTGGATTGGATTTGTCAAGTCACTTTTCAAAACCTTCTATTATGCATTTTTAAAATAAATAAATAAATAAATAGGAGGAGCCAAGTTTGGTATCATCATTCTACGTTGGGACTACATTTCTCACAATTCCTAGCCAGCATGGTAAACAAAATTCTTGGAACTCCAAACTCAGAATGGAAATGCTGCCAGAACTAAACAGTGAAATGATGAAGTCTCCCTTTGGTCTGCCTTTGGCTTGTTGATTGTTATTTTTCCCCAGTGAGTTTTACTATCCACATGCCTTCGCTCTTCTTAAATTGCTTACTTTTCATAAACAGCTTATGCGGGTTTTTTTGTTTTGTTTTGTTTTTCAGGAAGCTGGCCCAACCCCTTTGCCCCTGCACTGCCTTTCAGCTCTTGAGTGACCTTTTCTCACAACATAAGATATAAAAGATGAAAGGCATAGAATTGGAGCACGTTTAACAAACAGCAAACATGTCAAATAAAAGATTATCTGCACTACAAGTGCTAGAGTTGGCAAGGCGTAAAGCAAATGCTGCTGAGTGCAGGTCTCAAGGAACGATTCCAGTCTAAGCAAGGAAAGCACCTTCTTTTTCATCCCACCACATATCCAAGCTCTAGGCCAGGGGTGTCTACCCTTGGCAACTTTAAGACCTGTGGACTTCAACTCCCAGAATGCTCTAGGTCATGCCTCTCCCCAACGTCTTTTGAAAATTACCCAGCCTTATCCATATTCACTACCATTTTGGTTTGCTTTCAGCCCAGGCAGATGGTCCCTTGCATCTCCTCTGCTTTCCACGTGGAGGACTTCAATTCTTCTATAGCAACCTCAGCTGCCAGGCGCAACACTGGGAGAGAAGGTAGAGAAGATCCAGAATACCAACTTCCTGCTGCATTCTGTGGAATTACTACTTGGAAGCTTTGTCCATACACGCCTTCAAAGGTCATGCCAACAAAACCAACTAGTAAAGTCATGCATATGAATAAAGGCTCAAATAAACCACTCCCGCTCAGACAGCGCCGCAAATCCTGCAGATAATACGATGCCTGCATGCTTGATCCCACATGAGGCATCTTGCAAAAGCTACCTTAACAGGTAGTTTTTGGCTTACAACCATTTAGCAACTATTCAAAGTCACAACGGCACTGGGAAAAAAAAGAGATTTACGACTGGCTTTTGCACTTACCACTGTTGCAGCATCCCCAGTCAGGTGATCAAAATCCAGGCACTCAGCAATAGGCATGTATTTGTGATCTTTGTAGCATCCTGGGATCGTGTGATCCCCAACTGCCGCCTTCCCAACTGGCTTCAGACAGACAAAGTCAAAGAGGGAAAGCTGGATTCGCTCAACGAATGCACAATTTGCTTAAGAGCAGTGATTTGCCACTGTGGCAGAAAAGATCATAAAACCCGGATGTGGCTCCCTTAACAACTTGGCAATGGGAATTTGTGTCCTCGTCCTGGTGGTAAGTAGAGGACTATATACCAAGTCATAGCGCTGTCCTCTCTAGGCTCACATTTTCTGCTTTGGTTGCCAGCAGCTCTTCGTGATCTGTCTGTCTCATTTATCACACCCCATTAATTCATCTGCTCCTAATTATTCGACTGGTTCCCTCTACCTTGTCCTAGAGCACTTCAAGTTGTTTTTCCGCCTCTCCATCCTTCTGACGCCAGCAAAACGTGCATCTAAGGCTCCTCGGGGTTGTTTTGACTACTTTCAAGCCATCCGCATCAGCGCTGGCATCTGGATGAGTCTGTCGCCCGCGTGCAGAGAACCGCCAGCCAATCAGCGATTGCCCTTCCTGGCCAATTGTTGGAGGCAGAAACTGACAGCCAATGGGGGCTTCTTTGTGGGCTGGTAACTAAGTGGGTCCTCTTCTTCCTCCCCCCCACCTTGAGTTCAGTGCTAAAGCACCTTCCCTCCTGTTGATAGAAAACAAAAGGGAATGCACGGCTATTGTTTTCCTGCTGATCATATGCTGGCCATGAAGCAAGCCGTCATTCCCTTCTAAGCAAATGGCAGTGTGCTGGCATTTATGCATTGGGGTTTGCTTAATAATAATAATAAAGTTGGAAGGGACCTTGGAGGTCATCGAGTCCAACCCCCTGCTCAGGCAGGAAACCCTACACATTTCGGACAAACGGCTGTCCAGTCTCTTCTTAAAAACTTCCAGTGTTGGAGCGTTCACCGCTTCTGGAGGCAGGTTGTTCCACTGGTTAATTGTTCTAACTGTCAGGAAGTTTCTCCTTAGTTCTAGGTTGCTTCTCTCCTTGATTAGTTTCCATCCGTTGCTTCTTGTCCTGCCTTCAGGTGCTTTGAAAATAATTTGACTCCCTCTTCCTTGGGGCAGCCCCTGAGATATTGGAACTCTGCTATCATGTCTCCCCTTGTCCTTTTCTTTGTTAAACTAGACATACCCAATTCCAGCAACCGTTCCTTATATGTTTTAGCCTCCAGTCTTGCCAGTGCAGAGTTATGGTGGAACTGATCAGGTAGCAGAAGTCAGAAATCCCCTCTGGCAAGGATATGGGGTGCAAATGTCTGTGGAGATTCTGAGTCATCCAGCTCATGGTTGTCCCACAGGTGCTCTTTCAAAAAGCAACCAGACTTCCTTGTTTTTCTTTGAAGACGTTTCGCTTCTCCTCCAAGAAGGTTCTCCAGTTCTGATGAGAAGCAAAAACGTCTTCAAAGAAAAACAAGGAAGTCGAGTTGTCTCTTGAAAAAGCACCTTTGGGATATGGGGTGCAACTTCATGCACAAAGGCACCGTGCATGCAAACAGCATCTCTGGCCTTGCGCCGGCATTTCCCTGACCAGGTATACAACACCCCTGGCAAAGGGATATCTTGACATGGTTTGCAGCATTCAGTCCCACCCCACTTAATCAAGTCTTGAGATCAGTAGGGAGAGACACCTTGCTGAAGGGGCAGATCTCACTTTAATTTAGAATATCCTCTAGGAAGCCATTGCCAATGAATACAGTCAACGTTACTGTGAACAAAATGGACGGACTGTATGCAGTCCTCGACTTAACAACAGTTCTTGTAGTGACCGTTCAAAGGTACAGTGGCACTGAAAAAAGTGACTATGTCACATGACTGGTGCAGTATCCCCATGGTCACGTGATCAAAATTCAGATGCTTGGCAAGGGATCCATATTTATCACCGTATACGGCCTCTTATGGTTCCTGTTGCTGCAGCCTGGCTAATTTCCTGATTCATTGATGGTGGCTGGTGTAGAGGGTGTGTACGACCTCATTTGGTTTGATGACTTGAAAGTAGCCAGTAGAGACTTGCTCTTTGGAGCTGTAGAACAGAAGGGGACAAGACAACAGCTCAATCTGTGGGAGGAGCAGAGGAGCTAGTGGGACTAATGAGGAGGAGGCTGGCAAGGGTTGCGTTTCTCTTTTCTTGAGGAAAAAGGTAGCCATCTTGGATGTCTGAGAATGCCTAGGTATGCTGTATGGTGTAGATAGCACTGCTGCATGTGCTGCCTACTTGAGAGAAGATCCCTGTGTTGGGCATCCAATGTCCGAGTTCTCTTTCAGCTAAATATAGGTAGTTCTCAACTTATGACCAGTTGCTTAGCGACCGTCTAAAGTTATGACTACTTGCCCCCAGAGACTTAGAACCCAATTTCAAAATTCTGACGTCTCCATGCGATCACGCAGCCGTATTTTTAAGTGCTTGGCAACCAGCCTGGTTTGCAGCACCCCCTGCTCACATGATTTCAATTTATGATATTTTTGACAGAAACCAGCAGTTGCTTCTGGGGTTTTTTCTTTTTTTTGGGCAGAAACTGTCCCATAGTGAACAATGGGTTTACTTAAGGACCCCTGCAATAAAAAGTTGTAAAAGTGGTGGGTCCAATCACACGGTGATCCTACTTTCTTATACAGTCAAAATCCAGTAGGGTGGTTTCTCTGAACAGCTCTTTGAAGCATCTCTGTAATATAGCAGCCCAATTTGTCTTTTCCTGCTGGGCTGAGCACTTTTCTCTTTATTGTTCCAGGTTTCTTGAGAAATGGGCAGATTCATATCTGCATTCCTCCACCCCTGCTTTGCTTTCTGAAGTTCATTTCTTTCCCAAACCTGCAGTTCACAAGTCAGAACTTGCTCTGTCTCTCTGAGACTCACCGCCTCCTCCGCCTTGGCTGTTCCAGGTATGTCTGCTCTGAAAACTACCTGGAGGATTTCTCTGGGAGTGGCAGCCCTGCAGCTTTCAGGTAAGAAGACGGCCCAGGTGAAAGGATCAGGACAAGTAGGTCCTTGAGATCAGCGAGCAGTTTCAGAGTTGGGTTAACTTGGCAATGGTAGGCCACATAAAGAATCAGAATCATTAGATGAATGAAATTATCTCCAATGGCAACCGCTGAGGATAGCATTCCAAAAAAAAAAAAAAACCACAAATCCTTAACTTACACCTTACACAAAAGTGACCATAGCACTGAAATAACTGACTTATGGCTGTTGCAGCATCACCATAGTCATGCAATTAAAATTCTGGCTCTGGGCAACCAGGGTGTATTTACAATGGTGGCAGAGTCCTGGGGTCATGTGGTCACCCTCTATGACAGCGTTTCTCAACGTTTGTGTGACGGCGACCCCCGTCACACAAACGCTATGCGCAGCACGCATGCGCAGCGCCCCCCCCTGGAGGCGCGGCGCCGCCCCCATGCGTGACGCGCATGTGCGGCGGCGCCCCCGGAGGGGACAAAATGGCGGATCGCCGCCTTTGGCGACCCCCGAAAAGTGGTCGATCGACCCCAAATGGGGTCGCGACCCATAGGTTGAGAACCGCTGCTCTATGACCTTCCCAGATGTAAAAGCAAGGGGGGGGAGAGCCAGATTTGCTTAGTGACTACACAATTCACTTAACAACTGCAGTGATTCACTTAATAACCGCACCAAAAAAGTTGTAAAATCAGGGACAAGTCATTTAATCATCTTGCTTGGCAACAGGGATTCTGGTCTGTTCCTAGGAATTAAATTTAAATTTGAAACATTCTCTGAGCAATTCATTGTAGTGATAATAGTTCCGATGGTTTACTGACTGTTCAGTGTTTTTCCACTTTCCACGAGACATTTTTACAGGCTGAGTCAGCTGCAGATCTTGCCGAGATTAAACTGCAGGATCCCTTTATTTGGGGATAATGTCTTGTTAATGGGGGAATGCACGCGTTATTGCCCTCACGGTTATATCAGATTCCTGAACACACTCAGAGAGGTGCAAATGGACTTACCCAAACCATGAATTTCATGAATTGTTATGTCATATACTGAGTGTGAGGGTGTGCAATGGCTCAGGGGGTAAAACACACTGAGCTTGACAGCTGGAAAGCTGACAGCCCAAGTTCAAGACCTGAATGCCACGGAACAGGGTAAGCTCCTGCTACTTGTCTCAGCTCCTGCCCAACCAGCAATTCGAAAGCATGCAAATGCGAGTAGATAAATAGGTAGCATTTCGGTGGGAAGTGTTCTGTGCTCCTTTGTCATATAGTCTTGTTGGCCACATGGCCACAAAAGATGTCTTAGGACAACACTGTCTCCCTTGGCTATGAGCACCACCCTCTAGATTTAGACACAATTGGACAAGGGAAACCTTTACGTTTATATTGAGTGTATGTACTATATCTTTAAGTCCAATTTACATTAAGCACAAAGGCTGATCTTAAGAGGAACTTTGACATTTGAAGGATCCTAAGTTCCCATCCTTGTTGCTACATATAGCCCTCTTCCCCATCTTGACTTTCAGGATGTTATTCCCAAGAGTTTAAATCATTCTTTCTCAACTCTTTTACCCTGGAGGATCCCTTGAAATAATTTTCCAAGGTCTTAGGGAAACCTGGGTAAAAATAATGAAACTTACACAAAATTTTAAATACTGTACACTTCTAACCTCTATCATACATGTTCTCCAACATTTATAAAGGCAAAGTGACAGGTTGCCATAAAAATTCCCATCAGTGAGAACACTACTGCTACACAAAGTTAAAAAAAACTCAACCACATGTTTTTTTCCAATCACTTCTTTTGTGGGACCCAGTGGAGAAAGGCTGGTCTAGGCACACAGCAATTTAAAAAAATGGCTCCTTGAAAATTTTAACTGATTCTCATAACCCCTAAACAGGCGCTTAGAATCTAAAATCCACTTCATTTTTCCATATTGTGTAATGACGAGCTACTGTAAGTTTAAACAGCACCACTGTGTGCCGAGTTCCTGAATAACACCTATACTGAATGATATGTAGAAAGTAACATCAGTTTGAAAAATGATTTATTAATAAGTGTAAATATATGTCCCATTTTTAAGTTGACAACATAGGAAACAGTTTGTTATTTTTCCTAATTGTCAGCTTACCCATTTCCCATATCTAAGAAAAGAATATAACATGCTACATATGCAGTGCGAGTTTGCTAATGATGCTAAACATTAAACAGTATGCTAAACATTAAACAGGCTTCCCACCACCCCATCCCATTCTCTTGCAATAGGTACACAATTACTTTAACTGTCAGCATATATCCCTATTAAATACAATAAAGGTGAGGATAACTTTTAAATTTTCAAGGTAGATGCCATCCGATGGTCGGCATTGTGATCAGTGCATGGTTTCTGTGGATAACAAGCTATAGCTTATTTCTTCAGCTTTCATCTTAGTGCTGTGCCTGGAAGCTCATTTCCCTGGTTAAATCTTAGCTTCAGTGGGTAAGATGGCAGAGAGGATTCCATATTTTTCCAAAGAGAGGCCTTTTAATAGTGGCAGCAGTTCTCTGGTGTGTAAATCTAAGATGGGAGCTATCCCCCAAGCTCATTTTCAGTGGAACTGCATGAATCATGCTTTGCAGAAATGTACTGTATGACTCATCTTGCTCTTCACTAACCTTGGATACACCTTTCAAATAGAGTTTGTTTTTGTTTCTGAGGAGTTGATGGAAGTGGATGGTAATTGAACATTTGCTTCATTTTTTTCCAGAGACAATTCCTCTCCTCTGTCTTGGCTGGAGAATACAAGTTGCTTAGACACAGAGGCAGCTTTTTCTGGTTTTTCTTGGAGAAGACCAAAGCTGTGTGGCATTTCCTCAGCAGGCAAAATGTGGCTGATGGTTGGTTTCAGAGCCACTGTGTCATCAGATTTGTGGATAGTGGAAAAGCTCAGGCTACCATCTTCCAGAATTTCCCCTGCAACAGGAGAAGTGAGTTGTGGGTTTCTGGCGGACTTTGTCGTTTCAGCAGCAGGCTGTGGAAAATCTGCTGGAACTTCTGGCTTTTGAGAAATGTTGTGATCAGTGGAATCATGATTCTCATCCTCCTTGCATCCCTCTCCACGTAACAAAGAGACATCATTTGATGATCCGCTGACGTTTTCTACTTCAGATTTCTCCAACATTGGATTCTTAGTATGAGACTCTTGGTTGACTGAAGGGTGGTTAAGAAATTCATGAACATCATCTCTGCTTCTAAAATTCAGTGGGATGGTCATTGAAAGAGTACTGGCTGTGCTCAGAGTATCTTCTTCTTGTACTCTAGTAAACATACGTACATATATTTGAAAAACAAGCTATGTAGAACATTTTAGCAATAGCAATAGCACTTAGACTTATATGCTGCTTCACAGTATTTTACAGGCCCTCTCTAAGTGGTTTACAGAGTCAGCCTATGGCCCCCAAAAGTCTGTGTCCTTGTTTTACCGACCTTGGAAGGAGGGATGGCTGAGTCAACTTTGAGCCGATGAGAATCAAACTGCCAACACTGCTGGCAGTCGGCAGCCAGCAAAATTAGCCTGCAATACTGCATTCTAACCACTGCACCACCACGACTCTTTAAGCTGATATTGCTCTATGTGCATATGTATGGAGAAGAGTGCAAACGCATCTGCTTGTATCATATGGAAGAATAAAAGTCTTACAAGCCATCTCTCCTCTCACTGAAACTAAGAAACCTGTTTCACAGCTATAGAAGCCATCCAGTTAGTAATTACCGCTTATGGACATGGACGCCATCATCTTTATGAAGGGCTGTATGTTCATCGCCAAAAGCCTCACTTCTGTGATGCTTGCCAGCTGTGGAAGCTTCAGGAAATTGAAGCATACTCTGATGGGAATCTGAGAACAAACATGATACAAAAATACATCAAAGTCCGTTACCTCCTCATATATCCCAAACCATCCATCGCTCCTACCTGCTTCAGGACTGCTCATAGTTGGGGATAAATCTTGCGTGTGTTCAGTAAGTTGTTCTTCTCCCTTTGACAAGCAAACCTGCGAAGCAAGAGTTACACTCTGTAGCAGCAATCAATTTTCAACACAAGAGTAACTTTGAAGAAAGACTGCCGAGGAAGGATCTGATAACAGTTTTCAGGTTCCCCAAAGGAAAGTCACACAGAAGCAGCCACAACCTGTGCTGTGGCCTAAGAGTCCAAGATACGGAATAATGCTCTTAAGTACTTGGAAAGAAGATTGCAGTCAAACATTAAAAAAAAAAAAATCTTCTGATGAATCAGAACAATTTGAGAGTGAACTAATTACAGAGAGTTTATGGAGTTCCCTCCAATGCATCTATTCAAGCAGAGGCTAAGAAAGTCATCTGTTGTAATATTTCTATGAGTCTTAGCCACCATGCTATGGTTGATATTCCTTGGAATGGTAATAACACATTTTACAGTGCAAAACCTCTACCTTTCAGCCCATACTGGGAAATCAGCTCTGCAGGAAGACCAGAACTACACTTTTATTGGCTACAGTAATAGAATTCTCCAAGTCTGATTGTGTTGCACCTCCTCCCATACACTCCAGTAAACGAGGGCAAGCATTTGCTTAATGCCTTTCCAAATGCTCTCTCATTTTTTTGGATTTTAAAAAAGTCCCACTTGCCTAAGTAGCGGCTCTTGCACATTTACACACACACACACAAATCTTCTTTTCTTTGTACACTACTTCATAAATTTGTCAAGAGAGCCAGATATTTTATTCCTGCAATTTTCTTTCATTTGGTAGTGTTCACAAGGAGATGGTCACATGGAGGCAAAATTAAGGAAGATCAATTGAGTCTAAGAAGACATCCAGGATTCTAATTAGGGTCAATAGGTCTGTCCAAGTGTGACTGTTTTGACCTTCTCTGCTATATGTGACTAGAAAAGCAAACAAGCTCTTACCTTTCTAGACCTGGTTGCTGGTTTTGACAAAACTTGCCGATGAATCTTGACTAGTCTTTTCTTAAATTTCTGCTTTGGCAAGACAGCATCACCTAAAAGGATTTAGGCTACTGTCATAAAAAATGCTTTGGGTGTTCTTCCCCACTGCAAGACATAAAACACCTCTTTTGCCCTTTACAATCCTTGAAGACCCAATGGATCTAAAGGTTTCGCCCAAACCATGGTTGGAGGGAGCTTTCAGCACTAGTAATAAGGTACTAGAAAGCATATAATGCACAAAGATTGCCCACTTCTGATCCAAGTGTGTCATCTAGGCTTTCTAATTTAATTTAAGCCGCTACATGCTCTTCCATTATTATATAAGTTCATCTTCTAAAATGGCAGCCAGAATAAGTGGAACAAATGTTTGACGTAGAGTAGAAATGAGCAGGACCAGATTCCTAGCTGATCTTGGAGGATTGATTCTCACAGTGGTAGAAAAATGTCATTTTGAAACCTCATCCCTTCTCTTCCGTTTCCTTTAAATTGAGTATGGCAGCCTCCTTCCCCATTGAGTCAAATGCAAGCTAAATATTAAGTACAGTATCAAAAATGCTACCTTGCTTTTGCAAGTTTGAGGCTGTGATCTTTTCTGCAGACTTCTTGTTGATTTTAAAGAAGAATCTGGAGTAAAAAAACAAACAGTTGAGCCAAACATTAAAAAAAAATAATGAGATGTTCAACATGTACAGATATTAACTCTGTTCATAAAAGCATGTCAGAATTAAGATTACTACAAAAGGACACCCAACAGGAAAGAGAGGATTATGCTCCTTTTATGAAAGAGAGATTTTAAATCACTGTGGAATTTACTGTTTACTTCTGTAGAAAAATTGGCCAAAATTCCAGCAGGCTGATGGTTTGAGATAGAAAGGGCCTCTAAGATGTCTGAGCTAGCACATTCATACCCATTCATATTTCTGACCACCTAACATATCCAAAGGATAATACAGTAGTGCATTTGACAGGAACAGGTGTAGCAAGATTGTTCATTGGCTCCAGGAGCTGAATAAAAAAATGCTCTTCTAATTATCCTAGCAACAGGATATGGAAGACTGTTGAGTTCCTGCATTAATCTGGTTTATGTAAGCTAGTAGCGCAAATCTAGTTGCTTACATAATCTCAATTCTAGTTCACTATTACCCAACCTTTGCAGTCCACTGTCCTTTTCAACTACAGCCAGCATGGCCTGTGTTTGAAGCTGGTGTTATCCCTTGTCTGTGGAATGCTGGTTTCCAGTGTTTAAAAAGGTCTCTATTATTTCAGAGGAGATTATTATAGTTATCCATTTTAGCGATGGGACTTTTTCAAGCTATAATTGTGGCAGCAGCTCAGTCAATAGGAATAGGTGGTGATGAATGCTGCTAAACAGATTTGAGAAGAGACATGTCTTAGGAACAGAATCGTGTAACCATAGCATTGCTATGGACGAACTTTGCAGCTAGGACCTGACATTATTTAGGCCTATGCAGCTCACCTGTTAGAAGCCTGGATACGAGAAGAAGGCTGAGAGGGTGAGGGTGCAGGCTGCTGGCTTTCTCCTGTCTGTGCTGAAGAACAGCTAGTATCTTGCAGTTGTCTCTGAAGAACAGCCACTTTGGAGCAGGCAAAAGATTCCGAATTAGCTGTGTCTTTAAACAAAGGTATATCACCTCCCTTTGAAATAGACATTTTAACATTTTCAAATTTAAAACCATTCTTACGTTGCCGACTTGGCCTTCAAATCAAAGTGACTTGATTTGCAGCATAGATTTTTACTACTAGTCATAGCTTTGCTTTCTGAATTCTTTGGGAAGATTAACCTCCAATTTCTCCTACCTGTATGCTCTAATTCCACCATGGTCCTCTCTGCCACGAAGGCTCTGCCTTCTAGTTCCTGCTTTTCCATCAACAGGCATTCTAGGTAGACTCTCAGCCTCTCCGAGAGTCTTAGCTCAGTACATTCAGACAGCTCCATCCAAAGGAAGCACAAAACAGGAGTCAAACCTAGGCTTTCTTCCCATGGATACATAATCAAAGACAGTGAGTCTCTTACAATGACAACAACCCAAATATAGCAAGTGTTGAAGCGTCAGAGGCATATTCAGGAGATGCAGTTTCTGTATTAGAAGGTGCTTTATCCACATAGACCTACATATAGTGGTACCTTGGTACTCAACTGCTTTGCAACTTATCAAATGTGGTAATAATAATAATAATAAGAGTCCAACCCCCTGCTCAGGCAGGAATCCTACACCATTTCAGACAAATGGCTGTCCAGTCTCTTCTTAATGTTGGAGCATTCACTGCTTCTGGAGGCAGGTTGTTCCATTGGTTAATTGTTCTAACTGTCAGGAAGTTTCTCCTTAGTTCTAGGTTGCTTCTCTCCTTGATTAGTTTCCACCAATTGTTTCAGGCGCTTTGGAAAATAACTTGACTCCCTCTTCTTTGGGGCAGCCCCTGAGATATTGGAACACTGCTATCATGTCCCCCCTCGTCCTTCTCTTCGTTAAACTAGACATATCCAATTCCAGCAACCGTTCCTTATATGTTTCATTGTTTGTTTAATGCTCAATGCACAAACTAGAACTTATTGGTGTTGGCTGCCTTGTGACTCACATTATTCCTTATGGGAAATATTTGTGTGGTACTTATAATTTTTGGTACTCATCACACCTCCCAAAACCAATTAATGATGAGTACCGAGATACCACTGTACAATCTTAGGTTTATATCCAAGCATCTTATGCCACGCAAGCATCCCAATCATGTGTTTTCAATAGAAATCCCCAATCCAAACAGCCAGCTCTACCTCGGGTAACACAAGTTGATCTATTTCATTCAGCAGGCAAACCAGCTTGTGGTTGTCCTTCCTGGCATGATCCAGTTCACGCTCAAGTTCTAAACAAAGAAGGGATCTGGGGTCAGCATCATAGACATCTCATATCATTGGAACGGGGACATTCACCCCCGGAATGCCCTCCAAATTAAAAATAAAGATGGGACTTAACCTGCAGCACCTCTAATTTGATCAACTTCCTCCCTCCCTGATAACCTAATAAATTTGCCAATTAATTAATTTGCTGTTTAGAATTGTAGGCGGTCCAAGAGTCACTTGGTGGAGTTGGGTGGCTAAAAAAATTGAATAAATAAATATGTGGCTGACTTGTGCAGTATGCAAGGCCCTTCCCAATCTGTTTGCATGATGCTATTTTACTCAATATTTCTCCCTCCCAGAACTTGTGATTTTTGGGGGGGTAATTGTAACTTTTCATATGCTACCACATATATTTATTCCAGTCTAAACACAATTTCTGTGTTTATGTGTTGTCTTCAAAATATTTTCTCCAGCCTTACCTTCTACTGAATTAGAAAGGGGGAAGAAATTTTTGTTGGACCTCCATTTATTCTTTATTGTTGGTGGCGGAAATTAAAAAAGAATGCTACTCATTCTTCCCATATTTGCTTAAAGCCAATAAAAGTTTTTCTTCAAAATAGCAATGTTTAGGACATTTGGACTGCAACTTTAAGCAAACTTATTACTGAATATCACTGAATAAGCAGTAGAACTTACTTGAGCCAATGGAAATGAACTGAAAGTCATCTCCCTTATAACAAGATCTGTGCATTTGCTCAAAGAACTTCACAGAATAGATCATTTCCCTATTACATGCAATATTTATATAATATCAGATATACAGTATAAAGCACAATAGGTGGAATACTCAAAAACTAGCTGGGATTTGAAATCTTTGCCTCTTAAACTTGCCGAGGTTGAGAAGCACTGCTCTAGAAGATGCTGTAAGCCAGGGGTGTCAAACTCAATTTCACTGAGGGCCACATCAGCATTGTGGTTGCCCTGGGGGGACTGGGTGGGTGTGGCCAGAGTGGGTGCAGCCTACTGGGTGGGCGTGGATGGAGTGGGTGTGGCTACTGGGTGGGCATGACATCATTTGCGTCAAGTGTGCCTGTGGGGGCCTGGGCAGGAGTGGGACAGATCTGAGGGTCTCTGGCAGAAGAGGGTAGGACCAGAGTAAGTGCCAAGGCATGGTCTATTGGGGCAAGTGCCAAGATGGCCCCCACAAAATTGTACATTGGCTCCCGGCTGGCCTGGGCAAGGGCCAAGGCAGCGGAGGCCATTCCCTCACTGTTTCCAGGATGGCTTCGCGGGCCACATGAAACCACTTCGTGGGCTGCATCCGGCCCCCGGGCCTTGTGTTTGACATGTCTGCTGTAAGCTCTAGTGGATAAATGATCATAGTCTAGTAGTTCCATCAAGTTTCAGCAGTCAGACCAAATCATTTTACCTCTGATACGCCTTTGATATGATGCTTCGGTATCTTCAGTGGCCATGTCCTTGGCCCAGCGTTCTCTTTGGGATGGAGAATCTTGGACTTGCTAGAAAGGAGGTTTTTATTTTTTTAAAAATATCCATCTTATGTTTCCCATAAGAGGTCATAGTCACCATTTCCATGAAAGAACCTTTAACTACAAACTACTGAAGCCCTTGTTGAAATGCCTTTAACTGGATGAAAAGATGCATTATAGGGAAACCATTTTTGAACCAGGGTCACCTCAAATGGGCTAACTTACAGAATGCATCCTAAATCCAGGACCCATGACTCCTGAAGGAATAACATTTGGGGAAGTTGTAGCCCTTTCAGTGCTATTGGCAGTTGCTGCAATGCTGTGCTCTTGGGGTCATGTTTTCATTTTCAACCTTCCTTGACAGTTTCCCAGCCACTCTTGAAATCCCTCACCGCTTGCCCTACTCAAAAAAAAAAAAAAAAAAAAAAGCCATTTACCTGCCTGCTGGAAAAGAAAGGGAAGGAAAGAGTTCTGATGCTCCCTGCCAAATTCCCACAAGGAAACTCAATGGGGAAGCAAGTAGGAAGTCTTTACTGCTCCCCTTTCTTCTTGGTTTACCCTTGGTCATACCGTTCTTCTCTGTATATCTGAAACAATGACTTAACCTGGCACATGCTGTCTAGTAATCTAGTAATCTTCTATCACTTTTGGTCAGATCAGACTCTTTGCTGAATAGTATCTCCTGCCATGGTGGTTAACCCTATATTTCCTGGAAATCAATATCTTTTGGGTGCATGCCTAAAAGGGCCAGAAAGTTATAAGCTAGTACATTTTTTTCCCTGCAATTTCTCATCAGCTAATTGTCTAATTATATTTGCTGCTGGGCAACTAGCCATGGGTATAATTTGATAGTGATTTCCAACTAACTGCTTTCCTACCTCAGCTTCCTCTTGCTAGGGTCTAGAATTTCCTAGCTAGTTGCTTGGAATTTAGAAAATTTTCATTTCACTACCCCAACATCAGCTCAGAGAAAGTTTGTGTTGCTATCCATCCAATAAATGAGAAACCATTTTACATCCATCCTTTTCTAAAACACCAGTAGCCAGTGGTTCTAAAACACTAGTTTTCAATAATTATTACAGTTAACAAACTATTTTCTTCTGAACACATTCCATTTGCAATCACAACTACAGAACTCCAGTGACAAGGTCCATCTGTTGTTTTTCATATGTTCTGTTCCTTGCCAGATCTGATTTTGACCATTTTTACAGTTTCAACAGACTCAATGCATCCAGGGTCACGCATCCAGTGTTAATTGTTTCTGACCATAAGTTGACAAAGAACCTGTTATCAACAGGTCACAAAATCATTAAGTAGTTTTTCAAGTTCTCCAAGATCCTTCATCAGAATAAAAGCTAGATAATGAGGATATGGAAAAGAAGCTGGTTTTGGTATAACAATTGCCAAATACTGAGTAGTTAATGGTTTCATTTCCCCAGGGTGTAATTCAATAGGGCAATGAGTAATTCACACAACCCACAATATTTACAGGTTTCAAATGGCAGACTTCAACAAGTAGCTTAACTTTTGACCCCGAGTATCTCCATATCCTACTTCATGTCACATCTAATGGAGATCTTTAGTCATCTCAAAGTCTTACTCAGTATATATGGCATTTTTGCTTATGCCAAAGCGCATAGATTAAGAATACAATTCAAGTTTACCTGGATATCATTTCCTGGAGCAATGCAGCCATTATCATTTGTATGGAATTCTTCCTGCTGCTGTTGCTGTGGTGGCTCAAGAACACTCCCTGCGGAGAATAAAAAATTCTTGGAAAACAGAGAACATTCTCCACTTTCCCAGCATATGTAATGCCCCTAATGTTTTTGTAACGGCGTAGAATTGAATATAGTACAACACAAGGTGTTAACGTCTTTGAAAGTTGCTGAATATCTGCAAGGAGCTTAAAGGTTTCTAAGGCAAACACAAGCCAGGTTTAGGTGCAGGCAGATGAAGTCCTGAGTAAAACATTCTCAGTAGCCTTGAGGTTCCTGTATAAAAACTAATTATCAGAAGTTTAAAGCCCACAAACTCTTAAGAATGAATTATAGCTCCATGGGAGAGGAGGGGAAAAACACACTCCCGCTTTGCATAGAAAAGGTCTCCAAGAAGCTTTTTCAGTTCTGACTTAAGAATGGAAGGATTTAATGGATGAGAAGTGAAACATTTTGAAAGAAAACTAAGAAAGTCCAGTTGCCTTTTGCACAAAAAAGCACCTTGGGGACAACCATGACCTGGATGATTGAGAACGTCCACAGAGTTTTCTCTGGAAGCTTCCTATTCTCCTAACACTCTGTGGAGCTTCAAGCAGGAGCAAATTTACCTTTGACTACTTGAAATATCCCATTTAATCCTTTGAATCATTATTTCCTCAACCCAGCCAAAGCAGCAATAACTGAAACCACAGTTCACGTCTTAGAGGGTTCTCACCTATTGCTAAATTTCAACACAAAATGCCCTACTTGATTAAAAAAAAAATCTTCCCCAAAAAGAACTAATGTTCTATTACTGACGATCTACATTTATCCATCATTCCAAGGAAATACTCCCCCAACAAACCTTTAGTTTTCAAACAACAAAGTGTTTCTCTTATTCCAGCTCTCCGGCCATTCCTTTGATTAGGCATAATTGAGCTTTGCAAAAAATCTCCCACGCCCGAACTTTTCTATCCTTCCTTTTTATCTTTATTTGCTGTTCTCTCATTGGAGAAACTAATCAGGGAACATGCGCTGCTTACTAATTGGTTTGAGGTCTCAGCTGACCACCTATTGTTTTCTAAGATAGCCAAGGTTTGAATTAGCCCCTGCAGCTAGGCTTCTAAAAACCTTCCTTGCAGCTTTTAGCAGAAGATCCGGTTTGGCTTTAAAGTGGCCCACCATTTTTTTTTCTGCCTAAAATAAGTCTATTGTGAGGTTATGTGTTTCCCCAAGCCCTCCTTATGGGAGAATGGCAGGGGTGGGATTCAGCCGGTTCGCATCCCTTCGGCAGAACCAGTAGCTAATTTTTTGTTGCCCAGGCCCAGAATAGACTTCCGGAAGCGGCATCCACACAGAGAACCGGTTGTTCCCCTATTTGAATCCCAGCACTGGAGAATGGCCTATTGACTAGGGTTTTTCATGCTTTGCATGGAACAAGCAATGCCTTAATGGAATTAAAACTTTCTACAATGACATTTTACAATGTGATTGTAAAAAGATATTGTCCCAAAGGTTGAGAAGCGAAATCTTGGATGAGAAAGCAAAAACATTTTCAAAGAAAAAACCTACCAGAGAGTCCAGTTGCCTTTTTGAAAAGGAACTTTGGGACAACCATGATCTGGACGACTGAGAAACGTAAAAAAGATATCATGACAACCCTGTGTGATTTACCTTTCTGGTACTATCTGTGCACAAATAAATAATAGCCATTTTTTCCATCACATCATTTGCATTCGAGAAAACTGTGAAGGACTATTACAAACACTGTTGTGTTCTTCACTGCTACTACGGTAGCAATTCTTCAGGTTGCTGAAGAGCTGTGCTTTCAGTTCTTCAAACCTCCATAACTACTTGACCATCAGCCTTAAATTGAAGTCCACAAGTCTTAAAGTTGCCAAGGTCGGAGACCCCTGGTCTATGCGTTTAAAATTCCATTTATCTGACATCTACTACACAGCCTCCTACTACAGTTCCAAGCCACCTGCGTCTTTGCTGAGCTGCTGACATGTGAGTCTGTAAACTAGGTTAAACAACTTGGTGGCCTCTGGAATAACACATACGCTCCCTTAGGGCCCACCAGATTCTTGTCTCTCCTGACTTAATTTTTAGAAGACTCTTCTTTCAGAAGCTAATTATGCTGCAAAGCACCAGTCTTTAGCATAATTGCTCAGAAAGACCCCTCATCCCTCCTTCCAGAGGCCCAGCTGGCAAATATATATATATATTTATGGGAGGAAGATCAGGGTGAGGTGACCATAGGTGAATGGAGCAATCTTGCCACTTTGCTTGATACAGTAAGTCTTTGGCTGATAATGGTGCATTTAATAGCCGTTCAAACTTACGACGGTGCTGAAAAAAGTAATTGATGATCGTTTTTCACACTAACGACTTGTGGCATCCCCATGGTCACGTGATCAAAATTCAGATGCCCGGTGACTCACATTTATGACGGCTGCAGTATCCCTGGGGTCATGTGATCATGTTTCACGACCTGCTGATGAGCGGTCAATGGGGAGGCCAGATTCACTTAGTAACCATGCGGTGATTCACTTAACAACTGTGGCAAGAAAAAATGGGGCAAAGCTCACTTAACAAATGTCTCGCTTAACAACAGAAATTTGGGGCTCAAGTTATACGGTCATTAAGTCAAGGACTAACTGCATTTCTGATGTCTGGCCAAGCTAATCCTAATAGTCAGCCACAGCAGACTCACAACGTTCAATGATTAAAGGATTTTCCACTCGAATGTAGAAAATCCGTGATCAATGGACACTGTCAGATGAAAAGCAGAAATTTGCAAGAGCAGCTGATGTCCTTCTAGCAGCTCTGAAGTTGGTAGACCTGGATATCTACGGAGACAAAGGTGAACCACCATGAGCTCATGACTTACATGGCGGGGGCCCAACTTGGGCGTATGAAATTAATGTTCTTGAGAAGCGTCAAGCCCTAAAGGCTTGCGATTTTGGAAAGGCCCATCCCTAAAGAAAACAAGAAGCCTCCATATGACCAGCACAGACAGAATCCCATTTTCTTTTAACATTTATTGATCATGTTTAACTTATTCAGGTATCACAGTTTTTTCTACATTAAAATATTTCCATGCTATTTCCCCGTGATTCCCAACCCTCCTCAGATTCAGAGAAAAATAGAATTGACACAACTTCGATGGAATGCATCAGAGTACAGGGGGAGGGGAAAAAAATAAAGGCTACTGCACCCAAGTTACAGAGCACACAGAATGAAACAGTACAAAGATCTGCGTAGGACAAAGCGTGAGAGGATCGAAGGGGTGACACGTTGGAACCGACAGTCTTTGCAGCCTGAACCATCGCCAACCTCTCCAAGCAACACCTAGCTGGGATCTGGGTTGTTGTCCTGTAGTTAACGATCTGGATCACCCAAATTGGGAGCGGTGGGAGAAGCCCCCAGGAATAGGCTGGAAACCAGAATCAAGGTGAAAAGGTACCTCATGTTTGCCTCTGGGCTTGGAAATCCACACAACCCCATTCTACAGAAGCATTGGGTTGTCAACGCCATCCACCACCTGGTGCCCGAGCAATGTTTAGAACTGTGCACAACAGCTAGGGAGCTTCACCTTCAGAAGATGGTTTATAAAAAAAAAAATCCAAGCTTGGGGTTGGGTTCAAACCTAAATACCTTCCCAAGGGTTTCTCAGGAACAGAATTTAAAATAGCCCGTTGCCATGTTCAATGTGGCTTCTTACTTTCTGGATCATGAGGAATTGAACGTGAGGACCCCTTGTTCTAACTTGGACATAATCTACGCATATTTGAAGCAAACACTCCTCAGTTCAGACACATAAGGGCGTGCTGCACTTGGAAAACTTGGGGTCCTTTTCAGAGTATTCTGAAGACTGATGTACCAAACAAGATACTCGTTAGCTGCAGGCATCCTCACCCTCGCCAACATTGTCCTCTGCCTTGATTACTTTGCAAGGAAGCTTAGAAAAAAAACAGGGGGGGGAGGAAACCTCCCCCGTTTTGCTGCTGTTTCATATTTACGTCCACAACTGCATACACGTGCAGATGCAACTGGGCAACGGGACTGACCACCTGGAAAGGAGTCCCTATGCCAAGTTTTCACAGAAGAGGTAGGAATCCTGTACTTTTCCTGGGCAAGCAACAGGATGTGCAAATACTGCAAAATCACTGTTGGGCGATTTCCTAGCCATACGGTAGCTGAAGCGAATGGCGCTTTGTGGGCTTGTAATGCTACCAGGAACCATCGTAAACTGTGGAGTGGCTTTCTCTTGCCCGTTGGTCAGCCGGAGGGTTTAAGAGTGGACCAAAACTCCCAAGTGGACAAGGACGGCCTGACCAAGAAATGCAACTTTTCTCAACTTTGGGGGGATGGGTCTAGATTTTCCCTCCACGACTAGATGAGTTTTCTCATGCTCCCAACAGTCCGAAAATGGCACAGCAGCCAGCTCTGTGTACTTTCTTCCTTCAAGACCACATAAAGGGGGGGAGGAGGGAAGAAAAAAAATAAAACGCTTGCAGGAGAGCAAAGAAAATTCTAAAAATAAACTATTTCTTCCCAGCATATGTAAACCACTCAAGATACCAGTGTTTGAAAAGGAGCATATTTTAAACTCTGTTATCAGCTTCAAACATCAGCAACACTGGCACAAATATGTCACTTATTCTTGGTTTAATTACAGGGGCTGACAAGTAAACACCAACACAAGGGAAGGAAAAAAAGTATTTTTGGGGGAGCAACAGGGTGCAAGCTAATGTTTTGCGGTGGAGTCTCGGGGATAAAATTCTGCCAAGATGCTCTGGGGAATTCTCTTCAGTATCTCCTTGGGGAAAATACGTAGCAGTTGCCATCCAATATCCAGCGTTTCGTAAACAGTGCGGTTTTCATAGGGCCCTGAAATGATAATGGACAGCAGGGTCAAAACACTGAAATCCAGAGGAAAGAGCAACAGTTTCTCCAATCATCTTGAGAGTCTGTTTCATCTAGTGCAGGGGTCTTCAGACTTGGCCCTTTTATGACTTGTGGACTTCAACTCCCAGAATTCCTCAGCCAGCCAAGTCATAAAAGGGCCAGGTTTGAAGGCCCCTGATCTAGTAGTTAAGGCATCAGGCTAGAAACTAGGAGACGGTAAGTTCTAGTCCCACCTTAGGCATGAAAACCAGCTAATGGGCTGGTTTGGGGCCAATGATCAGGGGACTGTAAGTTCTAATCTCACCTTAGGCATGAAAGCTGGCTGACTTTGGCCCAATTACCAGGAGACTGTGAGTTCTAGTTCAACCTTAGACATGGAAGCCGGCTGGGTGACTTTAGCCCAAGCACCAGAAGACTGTGAGTTCTCATCCTGCCTTAGGCTTGAAAGCCAGCGGGGTGACTTTGGGCCAATCACTCTCTCTCAGCTCAATCGACCTCACAGGGTTGTGGTGGTGGGGAAAATAGGAGAAGGAAGGAGTATCGTGTGTGCTTGCTGCTTTGGGTTACCCATAAAAATAATAAAGGCAGGATATAAATAAATAAATCTGAAGGACAACACCTACCCTGAGCAATGAAGTTCCTCTCAAACTTCTGCAGAAATTCAAGGTACAGAAGATCATCAGAAGTAAGTGCTTCTTCTCCTACTACGGCCTTCATGGCTTGGACATCCTTCCCAATGGCATAGCAGGCATACTAGGCAAACAAAACAAAGCAAAAACAAAAAAACCTAAATTTAAGAAGTGTGAAGTTTATTAAGAAGCACGTCTTCGTGTTTCAAGCCATATGAGCTTCATAGGAATTTTGAGATCATTTCTGGCGTGAAAGGCAATTAGACATACTTGGGGTTTATTGGGAGCCTACCTCTCACGGGAAAAAATTGACAATTTGTTTTTTTTAGATTATTTTTATTAAATACTTTTTCCGTAAGTTAAAAAAAATACGAATCTCATAAAGGAAAGAGAAAAAGGAAAGAGGTCAAAGAAAGGAAGAGAAGCTTTTTAACACAAGACAATGGAGGAACTATAGACCTCTTTTAGTTAATTCCACTTACCAGCTGGTTTGATACATCAGCATGATCTTTTCTGGTCATTCCTTCACCAATAGCAGACTTCATTAATCGAGACAAAGAGGGAAGTACATTGATGGGTGGGTAAATCTGGAAGAAGAACCAGGTTTTTAATGGCAGCTCTGAAAAAATGGAATTGTGACTTCCGGGGAAAAAACGGCAGACTGAAGAAGTGGAGCCAGGAGTCGTAGCAGAATGAAGAGATGGCAAATAGACCGGCTCTTCGATAATTCCTTCCTGGACAGCGACTTCACGTATAACAGGCACAAAGTAATATTTTACAACGTAAACTACGAACCTGCCGGTTGTGCAGCTGTCTGTCTACGTAGATTTGGCCTTCGGTAATATAGCCCGTCAAATCAGGAATAGGATGCGTTATGTCTGCAAGAGAAGTTGCATTAAAGCTTTCCAGTTTCTGTGCAAACTACGCGACCGATTGCGGATCTGTTTCACAGACACTCTGTTAAACCTCAAGATGGCTGGTCGGATTTATGCCTTACTGTATTGTACGAATCCCGCTGTTAATGATTTAGGGTGGAACACAAACTATACATCCACCCACTGTGACACACCTGCCTAAGCAGAAGGAACTGAAAAGGCAATCCAAGTACGAAGGTCTGTTAATAAAGGAGACTGCTGGGGGGAAGGAAGAACCACCAAATGCTGGAGAAAAAACCCTTGCCTTGCTTAGGGAGGCTATGCAAGAAACTCCTGGAGTTACAAAACGCAGCTGCCCAGATGCTGATGGCAGCGGTGTCTGAATTGTTGTGAAAGGTTTGCCCGTTAGACTTAATGCATTTAATCTTAGCCTGCGGGGTGAAGTATCTGGCATCAGATGCAGAGGTTGAGAGAAGCTGCAGGACTAAAAACGAGCCAGAAAGAACACTTACCATCATTGGGCATAGTAAGAATGGGAATCTGTGTAATGGACCCGCTCCTGCCTTCTACTCGCCCAGCTCGCTCATAGATTGTGGCCAAATCTGTGTACATGTAGCCAGGAAAACCCCGCCGGCCTGGGACTTCTTCTCTGGCAGCTGAGACCTTTGGGAAATGAAGGCAAATGGCTTGGAATAATCAGCAGAAGCAAGAAGGTAAAAAGGGGCCTTCAAACTTCTGTCCCCAAAACTACTCTTTTCTGATTTAGCCTTTGTCACTGCTGTCCAGAAGATCACCAGTTTTCACCCCTCTGATCTTTCTGTGAAATTGAAGGTTGTGGCCACCTCCTTAACATAAAGAAATAGTTTCTTGAACCCACAGAGTCTAGCTGATGGGCATGTAAAGGGTTTCCGTATCTGCTGAGGATCTGAATACCACTCGTTTCGTGCCCTTTTGAATTCATTCATGCTATCTATGAAAGACAATAATGCCAGAATATTCTGCAGTAATTCTTCTTCTCAAAAAACCATAACCTTCAGATTCTTAGTTAATTTAGAATAGAATATCAGAGCTGGAAGGGACCTTGGAGGTCTTCTAGTCCAACCCCCTGTTCAGGCAGGAAACCCTACACCATTTCAGACAAATGGCTGTCCAGTCTCTTCTTAAAATACTTCCAGTGTTGGGGCATTCACCGCTTCTGGAGGCAGGTTGTTCCACTGGTAAACTGTTCTAATTTTGTGCCTTACAAGTTAGAAAATTCAAGCTGGAGGAAATATTTGGCTGTGCAGTTCAACAGTTGTCTGATCAACAGACTAAATATGTACCTCTCTCAGAGCTTCTGCGTAGGAGCTCATATCTGTCAGAATGACCAGTACGTGCTTCTCACACTGATAAGCCAAGAACTCTGCTGTGGTCAGCGCAAGGCGAGGAGTGATTATCCGTTCAATGCTGGGAAAAATAATGAGCTCCATTAAAAAATGGCAGCTAAGAAAAACCTTGAAACAAGATTCAAGATCCTCTGGAGTAATTAAGCGTTAACGCTGGGAGACCGAAAATGCATATTCCGCCATGGTCTCCTTAAAGAAGAATGTCTATGGAGATTCTCAGTCATCCAAGACATGGTTGACCCAAAGGTGGTTTTTCAAAAGGCAACTGGACTTTGTTTTTCCTCGAAGAGATTTCGCTTCTCAAAACTTCTCTGGGGCTTCTCTGAAGAACTGAAGAAGCTTCTTGGATGAAAAGCAAAACCTCTTCCTGGAAAAACAAATCCAGTTGCTTTTTGAGAAACCACCTTTGGGACTGTCTGAACTAAATGAGAAGACAATATTTGTCCGGTGCCCCAAGAGCGTCATCCCTCTTTCAGTCACCAATAGAAGCTAAGATGTTCCATGAAAGGGACATCCAAGGCCCCACTTCCAAGTAATACGATTAATATCCAAGATGAAATCCAAGAAAGAAGAGTCCAGCCCACTTACGTCGGATCGTTAGCCAAATTCAAGAACAGGCACACGTTGTCCATGGACCCATTTTCTTCAAAGTCGGTTTTGAAAAATCGGGCTGTTTCCATGTTCACCTAGAGAGTAAAGCAAGGAGATAAAGTCAACCAGTTCAAACATAAGTGCTTCTCTTAAGTTTTGACCTTTCCACCCTGATTATTCTTTTAGCCCAAAAAACAAAACAAAACAAAACAAACCTGCTGCCCAAAATTGCCAGAGTAATGGGGACAATTTGCTCTCCCAAGGAGGTGGCCATTGTTCTTGGCAACGAAGGAGAAAATTGTTTTGTGTGCATTTAATTACTTACTCCCATCGCAGCAAATACAATGGCGAAGTTCTCATCACTGTAGTCCACCACATCTTTGGATTTCTTCACCAAGCCTGCCTGGCGACAGATCTGAGCCGCTATCTGAGGTAAAAAAAAAATGGCAGCACATGACTTCAGTGTAATAAAGCAGGGGTCCTCAACCTTGGCGACTTTAAGACTTGTGGACTTCAACTCCCAGAATTCCTCAGCCAGCACATCATAACTTTGAATGGTTATTAAGCAGCTGATTGTAAGTCAAGGACCGTTTATATTTGGTTTGATTACACTTGAGAATGAAGAGTAATAATTCAGGTATGTAGGCATATAAGTAGTCTATCTATCCAATCTATGAGTAATCGAAAAAAAATGGATTATAAAGCAATCCACTCCATCAAAAGATGACTAGACTGAGAGATGCTTGAAGAACAGAGAAAGGCACATCTCTGGAGATCATAGTCTTCATCTCATCTCCTCCGAGAATTTCTGCAAAGGGAGATGAGGTGGCTGTAAAAGGATGCTTCCATTTGCGGACCGCATTCTGTGGAGAGCGATAGCATTTACTTGAATTGCCTCTCCACATCTCCAAGAAGGCATCCTTAGATTTCCTGCATCTTTTAGTTTAGCTTTTCAGTAAGATTTTAGCTTAATGTTTTGATTTTAGCTTAACGTCTGGATTTATTTTTATTTTATTTTTAAGCTTTTTTTTTTTTATTCTTGAGCTTCATAAAGGACTTGCTAGAGTGGCCTCCAGTTTTTTTCTTGTTCTTTCAGATCTGTCCGGGAATTAGACCATATGGTCTTCTCCGAGTGGAGGGAGTGAGCGGACTGCTCCATAAAATGCTATTCAAACCCCTACCTCATTATGGGGCAGCCCAGCAGCTGAGAAAATGGGGATCTTCTGGCCTCTGGCAATACTGTTCATCCCATCGATAGCAGAAATGCCAGTCTGGATCATTTCTTCTGGGTAGATTCGACACTGAGGATTGATAGGCTGACCTATTTCATTTTAATGGAGAAAAACAATCCGTTTTAGTCTGCATTTTTCAAGGCCAGAATTTCCCACAAAGAATATTAAAATCCAACATACCCATGTTACAGTTCAAGCCATTTGTCTAAGGAAGTGGATATTTCTGAAGCATCTGTACCCAGCAAGGTATTTTGTGAGTAACTAACAGCAAACTCCTTCTTAACTGACAGCCTCTAAGCAGGGTGGTACTTTCAAAGCTTGAGGCCACACTGCCTTTTTATTAATTAAATAACTACACAGTGACGATCCAATTCCGCTTTCTTGAAGACCTCACCCAAGAAATGTCCAGTTCTCACAATCCCTTAAAGCAGGTTAAAAGTTCAAGGCCTTAAAACTGGATCTTGCTATCATTGGGTTAGGGCAGGGGTAGGCAACCTTGGCTCTTTCATGACTTGTGGACTTCAACTCCCAGAATTCCTGAGCCAGCCATGCTGAGGGGAAAGGGAGAGGTTTCCAAGCTGAGCCATGCTGGCTCAGAAATTCTGGGAGTTGAAGTCCACGAGTCATAAAAGAGCCAAGGTTGCCTACCCCTAGTATCCTTTGAAAAGAGACAGGGCAAGAAGTCTGTTGATTTTCTAGCCTGTGTAGGGATGTGCACATGAGCCAAGATCTGATTTTAATTTGTGATATGATTTGGATTCCACATGCCAATTTTTTTGAATTGATTTGAACACTTGGAGGAAGGAAAAGCGCAATGGTGCGTGCACAGATAGTCACTGAATCGTCAAATCAATCTTCAAATTGATCACTTTATTCACCGAATCTTCAAATCCATTGCCAACTCCCAACTGATGGGATGGGATTGCATCAATTTGATTAGAAAATATGATTAGTTTTAATCATACTTCACTTGATGTCCTATTAGCAACTCTGCTTCCCTGAGCTGATGCTTTATTATGCTAGCCTACTACTTTCCTACACAGAGCTGCACGCCCATTTTCTGCGAACCATTTATATTCATGTCATAGTAAACATTTTAAACATACCCATAATATCAAGGTAGTCTTCAGCCAAGACTACAGGACCTCGGTCGATAGGTTTCCCTGAGCCATTAAACACACGTCCTACAAAGATCAGAACAAAAGAGAAGGAGAGGGAAAGAGGGAGAGGGAAGCAGGGAGAGATGCGTTATTACCACAAACCCTGCATACAAAATAAATATCAGAACAAATCACACATAAAGTTTTCCATCCAATAGACAAAATCTGGTACTACCAAGCATATCTTCGGACACAGGGCTTCGAAGGATGTCCCCGGTGAATTCACAAGATGTTCTCTTAGCATCGATTCCCGAAGTTCCTTCAAACACCTAGAAAAAGGAAAATGTTTTACTGCATGTTTTTATTTCAACAATAGCACTATCCATGGTCAGCAAATGGCTTCCTAGCAAACATTTAAACCAGTGGTTCTCAACCTGTGGGTCGGGACCCCATTTGGGGTCGAACGACCATTTCACGGGGGTTGCCAAACAACGCAGTCCGCCATTTTTTCCCCCTTTTCCTTAGCTGTGCTACTCCCTTTTATTCTATTGGCTTTTGAAAGCCAATAGAATAGACTCTCTTGAATAGAGTCTAATTCTATTGGCTTTCAAAAGCCAATAGGAATTGTCCAGGCTGTCTCTGCCCTGTTGAGCCCGCCAAAAGTCCCATTTTGCAAACGGTGCTGCACCAGTTGAGTAGTCCTCAACTTACGACCAGTTGAGTAGTCCTCGACTTACGACCGGTTGGGGGTCGCGGCATTAAAAAAGTTGAGAACCACTGATTTAAAAAGAATCAAGGTAGTTACTACACTTGTTCTTTATTTGAGGCTCCGGCTACAACAGCTCAAAAATAGCTTTATTGTCCCAAGACTATTTCGATGGGAAACTAACTCCTAACCCAACAGGAAAGCAAATTAGGTTAAGCTTTCCTGGGACAAAAATATTGCGAGACCAGAAACTGAATGTACTTCGCTTTCATAGGAAGCCTGGAGGCACACATGGTTTCTGAAATATTAACAAGCCCATTGTAAAATCTTATGTAATAAAGATGTTGGACCCTAGAATAGCAGGTAAGAATACAGGTAGTCCTTGACTTACAACAGTTCATTTAGTGACTGTTCTAAGTTATCACGGCACTGAAAAAAGTGACTTATGACCATTTTTCACACTTACAACTGTTGCAGCATCCCCATGGTTGGGGGAAGCCCACCCGGTTACTAACTTTAACAATTGCAGTGATTCATTTAACTGCAGTAAGAAAAGTCGTAAAATGGAGCAAACTCACTTAACAAATGTTTCACTGAACAACATACTTTTGGGCTCAATTGTGATCATAACTCGAGGACTACCTGTAAAAATATGTGTCTGTTACTTCAGATGGCTTATTTTCATTGCAAAAATTTGAAAAAAATGACTGGGAAGCCATTTACCTGAATTACAGCTTTGGATCCACTGACTTCTAGGATTTGTCCACTTCTCTTTGTTCCATCGGGCAGTGTCAAATGCACAATCTCTGCATACCTGGGAAACTAAATGACAATAACGACAGTCAACTAAGCCAAGGTATTTTTGTTAAGAGCAGGAGAGGCACAAAATTAGTGCACAGAACATCAAGGTTGATCAAGCTCATTTCTTCAACTTTAAAGTTTAAAGGTTAAATTACAACCTGAAAAAAACTTAGGGGAACACTGAATTGTTGGACATAATTATAGACCAGTGATTTCCCCCCACCCCCAATACCATTTTCTACAAGGACTCAGTCTGAAATTCTGATAGCCACAGCAATGGCTTGACAGCCACCTATCAGTGAAAATTTACTATGGCATTTTTTGAATAAGGGATAAAATTATCTAGCTTTCTCACCCCAGAAAAAAAGCTGGCATCTATTCAGTAGCTTCCCCAAACTGATGTTCTTAAATGTGATGGATTAAAAAAAAAAAAGATATGCCTGGGGTGCTGTTGCTAGTCCCACATCAGATGGAAGAAACAGAAAGGCTGGTCTAACTTTTTCATATTTGAAATTCCACAGTGAAACTGGAAATCCCAGCCAGAAGTTACGGATTGATAATGCGTTTGTATTTGATGAGAATGTTCAAAGGCTTCTGTAAATAAAACCATCAGTTACTTGTCTACAGATGTTATTTCACTGCAAAGGATGGGATGAGATTTGCATATCTGCCTTGAACATGTTGAGACATGCTTTCCATAGCCAAAAGGGTGCTATGTCTAAAGAGTCCATACATCAGTTTGAATGTAATTTTCATTGCAATATCCACCAAGCTAGCACTGAAACAGATAACTGCAAAATACATTTACAAATACATTAATGCTTACTGTATTTAAAGACAACCACAGGAAACTGCAGTTCAAACCAAGTGTTTTACTGAGCCATTAAATCTCCAATTTACCTTCACTTGATCCAAGATTACGAGCGGTCCATTAACTCCAGATACTGTTTTATATGCTGAAAAGCCAAAAGGAAGACGTTTAAACAATCTAGTGCATGCTTAGTGAAAACCTACACAAATTTACTAAATAGTAATGCAGGATATGTAGCCACATCAAACACATTCTTATGCTATGCTTGATAGATCATCTCTGGAAAAGAGCTTGCGTCATATGCTACATATGGAGTGCCAATTATTGTGAGATAATTCCCTAAAGAGAGATTTTTTTATGTCACTGGTTTTTTTGCCTCCCGACTCTAAAAATATAAAATCAAGTAAATAGACTATTAACCTGCGATGCAACTCTAAAGCTGACAACTAATTCAAAGGGTCAAGACTGTCTGTCAAGACTGGAGATACCGAAATTATATTTTCAGGCACTAGTCTTGCTTGTAATGAATTACACTATATATAGCAGCTTTCATTTAAACTACAGAAAAACTGGGGGGGACACCCAAACACCATGATCCAAAACACAGGAACCACCATTTTAAGGAATTTAAGGACACCACTTTCATGAAGAAGGCTACAGACACAGCACCATAGTAATACTAGCACAGATAACATTATTTTCATAAAATCACGTATCCCATTATGGCAGTTCAATAAAACCCTTCTTTGTTTCACACTTTGCTACAATGATGGGGGAAAAAAATCACTGCAAGTTTAAAAGCTGCAGATCCTTAAATCTTTAGAACAAAATTTTTTGGCACACGGAAGTAAGTCAGAAGCTGCAGTCTTCTCAGAGCATGCTAAGGCTCTGTGCCAGAATTTATTTCAATGAATAGCTGGGAAACAGCATGCCCATTTGCATTGGCACCGGTTACCTGCACCCGCTTGGCAATGGGAAAGAAATCAGAGGCAGACACTTGACATCCCAGAGTGTCTTACTTTGGGTTAAGGAGATCTGAACTATGCTCAGTTGGGCCCACACATGTCTGGGGGATGTGTTACTATTCCATTTTGCTTCTTATTCACGATCTGAACAATGGCAAGGATCAACTGGCCTGAACCAATGTATGCATTTTATACTTCCTAAGAAAATGTGAAAAGGACACTAGCCCTGCCTACAAAGAAGGAGCAGAGGAAAGGAGAATAATCCCACATAAACAGAAATTTGATTCACATGTTGGTTTAAACCAGTAATTCTCAAAGTGTGGTCTGGGAAGCCCTAGGAGTTCCAAAGATACTTTTAGGAGTCTTGTAAAGTCAAATAAATAAATAAACGCTCAATGATTTTGAGCAGCTTCTTAGCAAGAAAATCACAATGAAATTAATAAAAAAAAAATTCAGGATGCCATGACTTAACATCAGATATGAATCCGATCCCTGTACCCCTCCTCTGGCTCAATCCTTCTGCCAAAGATGTTTTTCCACCCTTATATCCCTCCTATAATAACAGAGTTATTTTATTGGGCACTTAGTTCTTTATGCTTTGCAGTAAACCATCCATTTGTACCCTATAAAGCAAAGTACTATACCGGCTTCTCCTGAATGGGTCCAAGGATTTTTTTTTTTTTAAAATGGAGACATGCCGATAAACTCCTGGATTCTCAGGAGTTCATAATTCTAGAGCATCTCTCTCATTTGTCTTTTAAAGAAAAACACCTGGAAACTAGAAACAAGCACCAACTCTCATTGACAACCCTTAGCTTCCTTTCTTGTTGACTAGATGAGGGAAGTGGGTTTTAGGAATGCTTTCTACTTTAGCTTGCCTATGAGAAGCTGCTGAAGATTAGAATGTGCATGGCCTAACTACTTGCAGGTTGGGTTACCACATTATATAGCATGAAGTTGTCTTCTTATATTTGTCTGCTCAGAAATATTATGACCTGGTTCTTATATCACAGTAAACCAAGATTTATCGAACAAGTAGCAATTAGGAGAGTCTGTATAACATGCTATACCTTAAATCAAGGTTTCAAAATGAAAATGGATGATTTCACAGCAAGCCCAAGCCATGGTTTGCTTGTAGTGCCTCAAGAACCCGGATCCATTCATCATGCTAACTCTTAAGCATTACCTCCACCAACCATACACTTTAGCTTAATACATATCCGCTCACTTTGTAAATAAACCTCTGTGAAGCAGGGTGGCCTGTTCCCATTTTCAAGGTGGCTACAAGGAATTCAACTATCTCTGTGATGTGCAAAGAAGTTCATCTACTCTGGGCTCACAGATGCAGCCAAAAAGTATGCAGGAATTATTTTATAATAATCTATTCAGAGAGGAAGTTTGAGACCCTATATGAGTAAAGGATGGGGGGGGGAAGTGAAAAAGAGCACGCCCAAAGCTATAAGTGTCCTTCATCATTATCCTTCCCAGCAAAAGCTTCAATTTAACCCCACATGACTGTAAAAAGAGAAGCGCTTCAAAGGGCTTTATCAGACTCACAAGGCAAAAGAGTAATCATTAATCACTGTTCCCGAAAAATAAGGAAAGGCTGAACAAACCAGATTATTTCTAGAACAGGAAAACAGAAGAACTGAGTAAGAAGCTGCATCCAATCCACAATTATCTTGAAATAAATCTCATTAGACAGGAGCGATACTTATTTCCAAGTAAAGAGATTGTCCTGTCAAGGACACATCTAAGCACAAATCTTCGTGGAATCCAACTTGGAATCCAACAAGACTCAAGTCTGATGAAAGATTCGTAGAGATCAGCCATTTCTCAGTGGTTTTCACAGATTTACTAGCCATGTTATCAGTCTGCTTGAGATGTTGCTCCTGTTGTTATTGCTATTTGCAAACTGGATGAAGGACAGAATAAATCTGTCTCTGTGACAATTTAAACCAAGGTGGCTTCCAACATTTTGGTCAAAAATTCTTACCAGGTAGTCCTCGACTTAACAATAGCTTCAAATGGTAGTGATCATTTGAAGTTACAACAGCACTGCAAAAAGTGACTTATGACCACTTTTCACACTTATGACCGTTGCAACATCCCCAGGGTGACGTGTTTAAAATTCAGATGCTTAGCAACCGACTCATATTTATGACCAGTGACAGTGTCCTGGGGTCATGTGTGACCTCCTGACAAGTGAAGTCAATGGGGAAAATGGATTCACTTAACAACCACGTTACTAACTTAACAGCTGCAATGATTTCCTTAACAACCATGGCAAGAAAGGTTGCAAAGTGGGGCAAAAGTCACCTAGTAAATGTCTCATGTGATCGTAAGTTAAGGATTACTTGTGTCAGGACAGGTAAACCCAGATTCTTATTTATCCAAAATGTCCCAGAAGGTCAACTACAGCATTGAACCATTTTGTTAGGCTTCACACAATATGGTCTATTTGGTAGTTGGCTTAATATAATGTGTGAACCCAGTCATAATTTTAATGGTACAGTTTGTGTCTAGCATTAAAACATTTTATGTACGTAACTAAAATTTATCCTCATTTATTTGTGCTAGGGATTACCATGAGGATGTCTCAAACTGAACTGGAAGAACAGCTATATGAGAATATTTATAGTAAACAGGTTGGTATGTTACTTGCGTTGTGTCAACACAGTAATACCTACGTGGCTGGTGGAGATGTTACAAAGTTTTTGGTGTATAGTAAAGACGTTTTTACAATGTCACCAATTATGTTGGTACTATCTGAGTTTTAAATCAAAACAGTATTAAAGTGTACATCTTTTAAAACAATTGGTCCAGGGTTTTTTTTTAACCCTAACCTTAAATAATATATATAATATATTCTACCTGTTTTTCTGCGTCTCAAAGGATGTGTGTGATAGAACAGATATCTACAAAGTGTGTGTGTGTGTGTGTGTTTCATCACAACTGGAGACCAATCAACAATATTTTTTCCTTCTTTCTCGACCACATTTGGGCGTTGAGCTATGTCCTTAACAGCTATTGCACAACTGCAAAATATTTCTGCTAAAATCTTGCCAAAGTGCAAATCCCAGTTCCTCAGAGGTCCCTCAAAAGATAACATCTACGGTAGGATGCTGTTTGAAAGCAGGCTTGTTTTGATTTATTAACTTGGTAACAGTAAAATTACTGCTATTTTTCAGATAATATTTATAACACAAAGACAGTCTTACATATATTATCCTAGAAAACATATTCCCTTGAAACTGCAGAAAAAAATGTACAAAGAATTGTGTCCAATTTTTCCCCAAATAAGAGTTTCAAGTTTAGTTAAAACGTGGCTTTCCAGTCCAGTTTGGTACAACTACAATATAAATCTTATGGTTAACTCCTGAACATTTTGTTTTCTTTTCCCACATTTTGGGGGAGAAGGGCTTAATATACTTCCCGTCATGCTCCAAACAATCTCATTTCCTTCCTGTGTGTTTGCCCATACAAAAATCCAAATTTCTGCCTATAATAAGGACCCTGCACTTCTAAGAAAGCACTAACCAGTCACAGAAGACCAAGCCAGAATCCATGTCAACTAATGCTTCCAAAGCTGGCTAACGTTGCTGGCAAATACACTGATGTTCTTTCAGCAAAGGGGAGTTACAGGCATGTCAGATGAGCCTCAAATATCCTACTCCAGGCTTAGTTTTTTTTAGTTATATCTTAGTCTGCAGTACTATCTGAGAAAAGAAGCGGATTACCTCCTGTTTGAATGAATTTCGTCCACACTCAACATCTGCATATGTCTCCTCACTCTTTCCAGGGATAGCTCTTTTTCTCATTCTGCTGAAGATGAAAAACCATATCTAAAAGCATACCCCTTAACTAAAGATATCTTGATGCTTGGTGGCACGTAAGGATTGGCCAAAGATTACAGTTTTTGGCTGACATGCACATTTTAAATCTCGAGGGCATGGCATTTTTCTGCCACAGGAAGGTCTTAACATATTCTTACAAACAAATGCAACCGTGAGTGAGGATAGCCACAAATAATGTATTCCCCAGAAAGCAAAGTCTTGAGGTTATTTAATGCTGCCCAAAGTCTCTTAAACCAGCAGTCCCCAATCTTTCCTGTTTTACGGATTGATGGGCATGGGATGGGGGAGGGGATGATTCCACATGAGTGGGGGAGGGAGTGCGTGCATAGCTCCATTTGCGTGAGTGGCAGGCACAGGCGCCTGCCTCTCAAATAAACAGAGCTTTGTAAGTGCGCTCACCCACTACTGGCGCAAGTGGAGCTGTGCCCGCCTGCACACTCGCCTGCTGCTTATGCGGCCCGGTTCCAAATGGGCTATGGTCCGGTAGTGGGCTGCAGCCTGGGGGTTGAGGACCCATGTCTTAAACTGCTCCCCACTACCTCAGCTTAACTCTTCCTTCCTTCCCACGTGGCAGTCTTGCAACTGAAGCCCAGGGCTAAAAATTTAACAATGCTTAGAAATGCACTTTGGAAGTAAACAATAATTCTGCGGGCTAAAATGTGTGGCTTTGCAGCACAGCATCTATGTGTTTGTGATCTGCTTGAAGACCAGAAAGATTTACCTTTTTAGAAAAATTAAAATAGGTGTGGGAAGGAGTATTAGATACATTTGTTATTTATATAAAAAAAATAAAGGCGGGATTAAAAAAAAAAAACACAGGAGGGACAGGTGGCTTGGTGGAGAACCCAAGATACAACCCTGAGCACAGGGACATAAACTATTACTGGTACAGATTCTGGCAGGGCTATGGGGGGTGCTGAAAAGATAGGATGGGAGGATACACAGGTATCTAATCTATTCAGCTAAGGAAATATTTCTAATGGAAATATTCTTCAGCAACATCTTCTCTGGAAGCTCAAAGGGAGAAAACAGATACTAAAAAAAGAAAAACCTTGCCTTTCATCTACCTAATTAGATTTCTTTATCCTTGCCTGGAAATTACCTATATAAAGGTAATGCTTCTAAAAAACATTTCTCTGCTATTTGAATTTATCTGCTCATTCCACTCTCGTATCTGTATGGGATCCATGAAGCTATTTTTCACTGCTATAATACAGGATATCCCCATTCTGGGACTTCCACAATTGCAAAACTGTATTTGCGGTCACGCTACCTTTGATTTACAGCAACAAAATCAGCATCAGGAACATGTCTGTCCTGATCTGAATAGTAGTAACCAAGCTTAATTTCCTAGTGAATAACTGAGCCTATTTCACCTTACATCTGATTTAATCGCCTACATTAAACGTGCACACCATCTTATTCAAGGAGGATCATAATAACTAAGTGGCAAGTTGCTGAAGTTGATAAAATAACCATCCAGCTCAACAATCTGAACGAGTCAGCCTTCTAAATTTCTTCTCCCTAAAGGCAACCCAGGCAATTTCAGACCAGGCTGAAATGAATAAAACCCAGCTCTCTTACGCAACAATGCCAAAACTTTTCCAGAACTGGCTCTTGTTTCTATCTTTCCTCCATTTCACCCGGCAACAATAAATCTACACTCCAAAAGACCTTAAAAGTGTGTCTCATCCCTAGAGCGTTTCACACACTGGGATGTGAGAGCGAAACCTCTGTGTGCCAGAGCCATCTTGCCTCCACTGACTGCTTTCACGCAAGCCTGCAGTGTGTCACATGATCTTGAGGCTTAGCCATAATCTATTAGTCAGAAGGTTTCACAATCTCTTACTCTCATTTCTCATTTTAATCACAAACCAGGATGGTTCTGTTATAGGAAAAAAATATAGAAGATATTTTATAGAGAGATATAGAAGAAAAAACAAACAGTCAGGGAGACAGTATCCTCTTCAAGGGGCAGCAATAGTGTAAGAGTGGCAAGGACCATCGGTCTCTGGGGAGGGGGGGGGAAATGAAGGCATTCTAGTGGTTTCTTTCATGCCCAAATCAGCACAGAGGAATAAGCTGACCAAGAAAAGAGAAGGCAGTCCATAGTAAAAAAAATCTGAGGGAGAAAGACATGAAGGGGATAAGAAATAGTAAAAAAATCATGTGATTAAAACCAAGGAAACTACAGAACCATTTATTGAAGGGTATCTGCTGTTAAGAGAATGGGCATGGAGTGCCACAAGGAAGCTTGTCTGATCCTGCAGGGTGATGGTGGCATTGCAATATAGACCCCTTCAGGCCTCGCCACTCCCAAAATCATTCTCTTAGGACTTACTTTATGGCAGAGACTGCAATCTCCCCTACCCTTGGACATTCAGTTCTAGAACCAAAGGGAGGTTTACTTGAAAATGAGCGCCATCCTGGGCTTCGCTGGCTTTACTTAGAAGGAAAGGCTGCCCGCAGAAGCTGGCACTGCAGTGCTCTTTGTGTGTGCAAGGAGGGCCTAGCCTGGAGAGCCCGTTGGGTCTGATGCCAATCTAGGGAGCACTCAAGAGACACTCAAACGGCACTGAAAGGTCACCCAGAGGCTCCTTCTGCAGGATGACGGCCAAGAAGGGGGAAAAGGGGGCAGAAGCTGGGCTGGCTGTGCAGGCAACGTCTGGTCCTTGCCTGCTTTGGGGCATGGAAACCCCTGGCCGCGGGGCTTGCGTCCTCCTCCCGAGCAAACGCAGAGGAGCAGAAGGACAGGAGTCTCCTTTTTGATGCCAGGGCGAGGAGATCTGCAAAAGGAAAGCTTGCATCCCAACCTCCCCACCCACCCCTCAAGAAGAGCTTCTGCATCGCCCTCTCTTTCTCTCTCCTCCTCCCCCCCAGCATCATCACAACGCACAGACCAAATCGCCCATCATCCCCAGCCGACATGGAGCTTGCCATCCAATAGGTCTAGAGGGCACCAAGGCTGGATCTGCTGCACCCTGGAGGAGCCTCTCCTCTTGCCCAATGGACAAGACTTCCCTCTCCGGGAGAGAAGATGCCGAGCCCGTCCGGGGGGATCCCGGGCGGAGGTGACCCCAACCACCCCCCCCCCCATTCCGGTCTTTTTTCCAGCTCCACCGAGGGCTAAAAGGAGAGACTCCCTCGGCACTGCCGGGCCGCGGTACTCACTGAGGCGGGGCTGGGAGAGGTAATCGCGGCTGACGGCGGCCGCCTGTTCCCGCATGGCGCCTCCGCCGCTCAGCTCCGAGACGGCGCCGTTCACCAACCCCCGCAACCCCCGCATCGCCGCCATCTTGCCCCGTCTGGACTGCCGCGTGACTGCGCAGGCGCTGATATAAGCGCTCTGCGTCATCCGCTCTCTTCCCCCCCGCCTTTCTCTCTTCACGCGAACGGGACAGACCCGGAAATCGGCGGGAAGGGAGGAGGGAGAGGGGCGGAGCCAGAGGAGAGGAGCTGGCCAGGGTGCTGAAGGGCGGGGCCGGGAAAGAGCGAGGGAGACGCGCAGGGCGCGCCGCAGAGCGGGCAAGCTGCCCCTGAGCGTGTGCAGAGCGCAGAACAGACGTTCCCACATCTGGAAGTTATAACAGTAACCCCAAGAGCGAGGAACGGCTCCAGACTGGGACCAGGGTGTTTTCTGCCCGCCCCTGCAAAGACAAACACGCCTTAATTGGGGATCAAGTGGCATTAGACAGCTGGGGCATTTGGTTTTCCATCAATCCCTGGTACTGCAAAGTGGCTGAACTTAGCTTCTGTTGTATAAATCCGTGTCGCCCAACAATGAAAGGACCTCTGAGCACTTGCGGAGGGGCTTCTCCAAGCACTACCTGCGCAGCATAGAGAAGGCAAAGCTCCCAATCTGGATTTTGCTATTTAAAACTGTGTCATAGAGCAGGGAGATGTGCATTATAATGTTGTAAGCCACCCAGAATTACTGTGAGGCAGGATGGATGGCTAATACATTTTATAAACAAATAAAGGAACAAGGATCATGTCCTCCCCTTGAAAGGAAAGGCAAAACTCGGGTCGTAAGATAGGTTAAGGTAGCCTTGCCTATCTCTCAGGTTAGCAGCAATCCTTTCAAAGTGGCTTATAAGCAATATAAACAGTTGCAAATTAAAGTACAAATAATAGGAGAGAAAAAGAAATATTTTAGGATTTTTGTCATTGGAGAGTCTACTATGGCAATGGCTCTTTAGGTAGAGGTAAGAATAGGGTGAGAGATAAGCAGGTTACTGCAGTGACTGCCAGTCTCAGTATCCTTGTCTTAGACTTAGAGCAAGCATTGACAATGACTTCTACTGTATTCAGAGACCTTGTTATCTGGGGCTGATGGGAGTTTATCGGGTTTGGGAAAACTGTTTCAAAGAGATAGCACAGAGCACATTTTTGTCCTGAGAGCTAGTAAACAAAAGTAAATAGCCTGACACAAAATCAAGAGACAGATGGAAACTGGGTGAAGAGAAGGTCTTTGAGTCTGTTGCATTTGCCCAGCAGGAGAAAGCAGCATAAAAATTAGAATACAAATAGGGTTCATATTTGATACATAGCAATCACTGGAATTCTTTCACAGTGATGTCTTGACATAATAAACTTTTCTTAGCCTTTTGGTCCTTGGAAATCTCAAAAGTTTTTTTTTCCTTTGCCAGTTGAGGAAATACTGACATCTCCATTGCTAATAAATTCCTATTGTAGCTAGCATTAAAAGTAAAGGCTACAAGGTCTTTTCCCTTTTCTCTCGTGTTTTTGCACTTGCCTCCTCTCTAGCCGGTTACACATGTACAAAACTATGCCTTTTCCAACCTCATTCAGCAGTGAGTAGAAGCAAATAGGTTTATAAAGCTTCCCTATGCCAGGTCAATATTGCTTCCTAAAGCCATCTACTTTAAGCTTTTCAGAAGCATTGGAATATAACGCTCATCCTGATGAGCCTTCATAATGAGGATCTACTTCGCTATATATATATGGGGGGGGGGGTTGTATCTGTTGAGAAGGATGTTTTGAATGGATTTAGATAGGGAACTTTCTTGTGGAAGATGGAAATTGAATTTAGGACTTTCTGTATTCAAAGCAGGCCTTTAGATCTTGAGCTGTAGGCTTGATCCACTCAAGCAGAATTCTTCAATGGTACAAATTCATAAAAGGAAAGGATGAAGCATCATCCTACTTCCCTTAATTTGCAGATGGACAACTATCTAAGTGTCATCCACCTCTTCCTCTGGAGGGGTGATTAATATGGGCATGTTGCAGACTCACAACTGTGTCCTGATGGAATAAATATTCATACTTTCAGTCTGAAAAATATAGATAGTCCTCAATTTACAATCGTATTTACAACAGCACTGAAAAAGTGACTTATGATGGGTCCTTACACTTATGACCACTGCAGGCTGCTTATAAATTGTAATCAATTTTTCCAATGCATTTATCCTGGTAAGATAGTTTTCTTATAAGTATCTTATAAGGGATAGTGTGTCCTGGCTCATGGGGTTGCAAACAATCGGACACGACTTGGTGACTGAACAACAACACAAAAAACACAATATTGTCTAATCCCCCTTCATGCAAATGTATTAATTACTCCCATAATATTACCCTAAGATGAATCATTCTCTTTCAGCCAAATCTAACCCTTAGCTGATGTGGGAAAGGATGAAAAGGAAGTGCTGTGTGTATATGATTCCTGGAGCAAATTTAAGAATTAGGTAGAGAAGTTAGATCTGCCTATCAACAGCAACTGCACATAAGGTTCACACAACCATATTCATTTTCATGCAGACGGAAAAAGATACAATATAAGCCATGATTTTGTTTCTTTCAAATGCAGCTTCTCCTGTGGAGCAACCCAGCTTATGTACAGTATCAGCAGGATATGATTCTCTTTGCAAATTCATTTCCTCCCTCACTTTAATTTATGTAGTTTCTCTTTACGGGCAGATGGGCTGTCATCTTCCAGGTTATCTTTCACGTTGGTCTACAATTTATAACAGCAGTGTTTGTTCTTCAGAGGTTTATTATTCTTATGACTGTTATCTAATCCAATATCTGAGTAATAACAGCAGCCCAGGAGTTTGCAGTTCAATGTCTGGCTCCTATTATAATTTGCAATGACAGTGCTACCCTTTTCAGTCTACACTGGGTTAAAGGCAGATATTGTGCAGCCTGTCCCTCTCCAAAACAGGTAAGAGGATTTCAAATGATTGATTCAAAGCATTTCTATCCTACTCTTCGGCCAGTATGCCTTGATGTTACCATCAATTTACAATTCAATAATTTACCAATGTAACTTAGCTGTTTATGTCTGTGAATATACAACCTGTTTAAAAAAAAAGCAAATTTAAAGCAATTTTAGCTTTTTTTCTTTATAATTGGGTCTATTTTTTTTTCTTTATTTTTCTGGACGTAGTTAATAAAAGAATGGAGTGGAGAGGGGAGAAGGGTATCTCTGCATTTATAGTCTGAAGCAAACAAAACCACAAAAGGAAAAAGAGATAAGGAGGGACGAGGAAAAGGACCCAAATCAGAAGTGAATTATTAGGGTCCTACAGAACTTTTTATGTACAGCATAAAAGCGCCTGAAGGCAGGACAAGAAGCAACGGATGGAAACTCATCAAGCAGAGAAGCAACCTAGAACTAAGGAGAAACGTTTTGACAGTCAGAACAATTAACCAGTGTAACAACCTGCCTCCAGAAGTGGTGAATGCTCCAACACTGGAAGTTTCTAAGAAGAGACTGGACAGCCATTTGTCTGAAATGGTATAGGGTTTCCTGCCTGAGCAGGGGGTTGGACTAGATGACCTCCAAGGCCCCTTCCAACTTTACTATTATTATTATTGATATGGATCATCGCACGGTCAGCCAGATGTTCAGACTGGATTTGGCATTTTGTCTATCTATCGAGTCCTTACCCAGGACCTGGGATAGGCAGATGTGAATGTTTGATGGTATAATATTATTATTATTATTATTATTATTATTATTATTATTATTAGTGCAGAGTGAGCAATATAAATATAAAGCGAAGAGGGGGATTATTTACAGCACCAGCTGAAATCCACACATCTTAAAGGTGCCATGGTTGAGAAACATCAAATCCAATAGATTATGGAGAGGCAAAATCCATTGACGCTGATTCTCTGCAGAGCTGATGAGGACTCTGCTATTCCTTTTTCCTTCTGGAATGACTGTTAAAAGACACAATTCTGTTGGGAAAACAACAATAGCATCACAATCTGTTTGTCAAAGGCTGCCCTTCCCAACGCAAAACTGTCCAGATGTTTTGATATGCTTGCTCTTGGAATTTCTAAACAATGTGGTCCATTGTTTGAGCTGGATGTGATTTAAAATTGACCAGTACTTCCTCCTAGCCCTTTGTGGCTTTCCGGTGTCATGCTTTTTTTCTTGGATTAGGCTACTCTAGCAGAATGAATTGGGGAGAATGGTTGCTGCTTCAAAGAAGGGAATGGACTACTAGATTGAAGTAGTTAAACTACTTCCAGATGTTGCTCACCCCTGCCCTTATTATTTGGGGCAACTAGAAATGATCAGTTTCTGGTAGACTGAAGTGTTTAAAATTGTGAGAATAAAAATGAATTAATATGTGATGGTTTCCTGGTTCCAATTAGGAATCTATTAAAACAAGCTTAGGCTGTATTCTGTAACTGTTACTCAGATATGCATTTGCTGTCTTATATTCAGAAGTCATCCAGATGTATATTGGATATCTCCTCTTCATTCATCTGTACTTTCTACTATGCTATTGTGATTTTAAAAAAACCAACAATCTTCCATTAATTAAGTTCCTTCTCCCAGAATGTCTAAGATATGATTGTTCAGTTCCCTTCAGTTCTGTACATCAGAGATTTTGCTAGAAATATTTAGAAAGACGATCTAAACGAAGAATATTGTACAGGGAAGATTATCAGATTCCCCTGTATATTCCTATGGGAATTGGGATTTTGTTATCTGTCCCTCTTTGAGCTGGGATAGAAGTATGTACTTTTGAATGATAAACCTTGAGTTTAAAATTGGGTACGTTTCAGGTGGCTCTTAATGCCAATAATCTCAGTAGTCAACCTCTGTTTTCCTGGCTTTGACGCAGATGGAGCTGCTGAGCTGATTGGGGCATGTTTGAGCTATCAATTATGCCTTCCTGGTCAAGAAATCCTCATATCCTCTTCAGATAAAAAGGAATATTACATTTACTCGGTGAAGCATTTTCTGAACACTGTGAGAAAGCACCAGGAAGACAAACAGTGATATATTCAAGAATGGTAAGGACTCTGTTTCTCCATATTGGGAGGTATGACTGGGTGGAAAATGATGAAGCTATTAGAATCTGAAGCCTTAAATTTAGGAAGGAAGGAAGGAAGGAAGGAAGGAAGGAAGGAAGGAAGGAAGGAAGGAAGGAAGATTAAAAGTGCAATTTGACAACTGCATAAATTCAAATCCAGTGAGTTGTACTAACTTCTCTCGCTTCCCTATGAGGAATATTATGAAACTTCTAAAAAAACAAATCTCATTCAAAGAGAATGCTTTTAAGTTGTTCAACTCTAGACACCCTTGTGTTTACTAGAGTCCTTCTTTAAAGAAAGGCCATGTTAGGACAGTACAGTAAGTTGAATTAATTTGGCACAACTAGTATGCAAACTTTCAAGCTCTATAGAGATTCTTCTCTGATTGAATGTTTTGTAAACTGTAATGATGGAGAAGACCAGTGATTGCCCCCTTGTAACTTTGGAGGGATTGATCAAATATAAAAGAATGAAGCCTCTGCTAACTGCTTGGTGCTTTGATTCAAAGATCAAAGAAACAATAATACGAATGTATGTGTGTGTTTGTGTGTGTGTATGTATATTTGTAAGTGTGTACTTGGCTATAATGCTGTTTGATTCACACGAGAACAACAGAAGAAAGCAGAAGCTGAAATTCAACTTTCTTATTGTTAGTTAATTCTAAAAAAACCCCACACATATTTTGGTGATGTTCCATGTTCTTTCAGGATCCAGAACAAGTAGACTAGTCTAAAATGATACTTCAGCAATCATTCAGGTATGTATATTTACTTTTCCACTTTTGTCTTCTAATGTGCTCTTTTCAGAAGATTCTTTCAGGTATCACTTTGGACTTTTATAAGGATGTTTCACAATAACTTGAATCAGAGGTAAAGAGAGCAGCTGTTGACTGACTGACAGAGTTTTCTGTTGTCTTTTTTCATTTTGGAAAACTGGGCGAGAGAGCAGTCCGAATATCTGCAGAGTGTGTGTGGAATCAATATCCCTGTTAGGTCAATATCTTTATTCAACTCAACGGCACAAAATAAAATGCAAGATATTTTTTTTTTTACGTCCTTGATAAACATTTCCGGAAAGTTTTCATGCAGTTTTGTGCTTTGTGATTCGTTTCAAAAATAGATTGTCCTTCAGTCGATTCTGGAACTGTCCTTTCAAATATATTGTTGATGCTGGAGTTTGAGTGGACATTTTGCTAAAACCTTTCTCTTACAGGATACACCCAAAATTAAATTCTAAGAAGCAGTAAAAAGAAACTCAGAAAATGAAGATTCCACTCTTTCCTAAGCTAGCAACTGAATGCTCCCTGTGGCTCTGGTTAAAAGAGAGAAGAGAATCCCGGAAATTGGTTTTACTGGTTGTGTTTGTGGCTCTGCTAGTAGACAATATGCTTTTCACAGTGGTGGGTATGTAGTGTTTTGGTTAAATGAGTTGGCTTTTAATATCACTGTTACCGTATAGTGCAGTGATGGCGAACCTTTTAGAGACCGAGTGCCCAAACTGCAACCCAAAACCCACTTGTGCATCGTCGAGTGCCAAGTGGGCATGGCCCAGTGGGTGGGCGTGGCCCATTGGATGGGCGTGGCTGCAGTGGTAATGGCAGACTGGGTTTGGGCAGTTCAATCAATCAATTCCAACTTTGCAAGATCTTTTTTTTCCCCGCGAGAAGTTGAAATTAACTGATTGAACCTTTTTTTTTTTGCACATAGCGGCAGAGGTCTAAAGCGAAAAGGTTTTATAAAACCCAGCTGAAGGCCTAGGACTGTGGCAACAGTGCACGTGCCCACAGAGAGGGCTCTGAATGCCGCCTCTGGCACCCGTGCCATAGGTTCGCCACCACTGGTATAGTGTTTTCCCTCACTGCAAGAGCTTATTTTAACAGCCACTTCTTAGTAGTAGCCATTCAATTTACCCAGAATTCCCTGATACATCATTCGAGGGCATTCTGGGAAAAATAATATGGCAGCCAGTGGGAGTGATATTAGTTGCCGTATATGTTCATGTACAAGCAGATAACCTTATTAGTTACTGTATATACTTGTGTATAGGCAGACATGCCAAGCCACATTTTTCATGGTACAGTATATTGGTTAAAAAATCAAGAGTCTGCTTATCTGTGGATGGGCTTACATGGGAAATATGGGTAGTGTAGTTCAAAGAAGTGCCACCATATGTACTTGTGGATAAACCCATTTGTAAATAAGCCAAACCCAATTTTGGGGGTGCATTTTGGCATTTAAAATTTTCAACTTATCGGCATGTTTAGATAGTATTTGATGGCCATCCTCCCAAATCTAATCAGATTGCCCTGGAATATTGTGAGTGTGTGGATCAGGGGTGGCCAGCCTTGGCAATTTTAAGACTGGTGGACTTCAACTCCCAAAATTCCCCAGCCAGACACACACAAGTCTAAAAATTGTCAAGGTTGGATACCCCAGTGCATGCGTTTGTGTGCATAGATTAAAAAAAAGCAATTGGTAGGAGGCAGAAAGCAATACATTTAAGACAAAGATAAAAACCAAAAAAGCAAACATGTTTTTGCAGGACAAATATTTTTTCACTTTTTTCTTTCTTTTAGTGCCAATCATCCCTTCTTTTCTATATGCCACACACAAAAATATCAGCCACTCTGCAATTCGGGCCACAGCTCTTGTGCCTTTCTCAACCAATCCCTCTGTCTTGGGCTTCTTGGACTATGACAATATCACAATGACAGTCTCAAGCCACGATGCTCTAACCAGTGTCACTGGGAGCCAAGAAGGAACGGTTGCCCCTCATTTCCCCATGGATGCTTTGAACCACAGCTGTACAGATAGAACGGATTCTCTTTCAGAGGAAAATGTTCGCGTTGGGCTGCTCTTTGCCTCAAAAGCTTTGATGCAGCTCCTAGCAAATCCCTTTGTGGGACCCTTGACCAACAGGTAGGTCAGTTTTTAAACAAACCAATTGGGAAGACTTTCTGTACTGCAATATACTCAACTTGCAAACTTTCCAAACACCCAGTAAGAGCCAGTTTGGCCTAGGCTAGAAACTAGGAAGCTCCGAGTTCTAGTCTCGCCTTAGGCCAGTCATTCATTCTCAGGAAGGTGATAATGGCAAGTCAGTTCTGAAGTCTTACCAAGGCAGGACTTCTCGGGACCTTCCTGTTATCTTAGCAAAAACTAGGGAGGTTTCTGTCTGAGATGCTTTTTCAAATTATATTTCTGCCCTGGACCCGGATTTCTTTTATCTGACCATTATCTTGCAGCTTTTCTTCCTATTTCTCAAGATTACTTCTTAAGCCTATTACAGTTGCCATATTTGCAATAGGGCCTCTATGATGAGTCAGAAGTTAGGAGAGTCAAAAGACATGCGTAATGGCAACTAAAGGAAGCAACTGCCACCTGAGGCTTTAAAGCATCTCCAATGCCTCATTTGATCTGATGTTAGATCAACCTAAGGATTTCAGGAAATGAAAATCGTGTCCCCTACTATGATGGGTGTTCAGACACATAGTGGAAAATCTTCTGTTTCCTCCTTCCTCCCTGTTGTTCAAGAAATGTTGTGAAGTAGCTTGTGTTGGTGGACAGTAAACTCAAAATCATTTTTTTTGGTTCCTGTAGGATAGGATACCACATCCCCATGTTTCTTGGATTTGTTATTATGTTCGTCTCTACGCTCTGTAAGTTATGAACACCTACACAACATGTGTCTCTTCCAGTGTCGCCGGATCTGCTCTACATATGGGAGTAGAATACAACAGTGTTTTGTTTATCCCATCCAATGGAGATGTGAATAATACAGAAGCCTGTTTTTTTATTTTAGAAAGTGTGCAGAGAAGAGCAACAAAAATGATGAAGGGTCTGGAGGTTTAAATCGTACGATGAATAATTGAGGGAGCTAGATCTAGCTAACCTATCTAAAAGCAGAATTAGGAGGGACATGATAATGTCTTCCAGTACTTGGGGAGCTGTCACTGAGAAGCACCACAGGGCAGGACAAGAAATAATGAGTGGAAGCTTGTTAAGGATAGATCCAATTTAGAAGTAAGAATTTTCTGACAGTGAGAACAATTAATCAGTGGAACAGTTTGCCTCCTGGACTATTGGGTGCTCCATCACTAGAGGTTTTAAAGAATAGACTGGACAATCATTTGGGATAGTATAATGGTATAATGGTCTCCTGCCTTATGCAGGGGATTGGACTAGACTACAAGACCTTTGAAACCCCTTCCAGTCCCATGATTCTATGTTCCTGGAATAATATTGAATAGTTTTGGTTCTGGGGCAGGCAATCTAGCGTCCTGTAAATATTTTTGGTCTCCAAACCCATAATATCTTACGCCTTAGTTATATTGACTGGAGATGCTGGAAGATTAAAACATTAGAACAGCTCAGTTTGCTTCATCTTGATATTTGTCCAATATAATTCAATAAAATATTTAATCAGAATTTCAATGCCCTTTCTGTCTTTAAATGTTTATTATTTTACAAAGGATTGTTATTACTCAATTAGTCTATTGATGTGAATGGATAGCTATCAGTTTCTGCTTTACTTCTCATTTCCCAGTATAAAATCAGTGTTGGCTTAGGCTTCCATCAATTTATTTTCAGAAACTCTACCTGAAAATTCCAGCCTATACATTTCTTCTCATCTGCATTGCTGTATGTAATTTTCTCCCTATATAACACTTCTTGCAAGTAATCTTCCCCTAATGTAATACATTTTTATTCTTACTTCCTTTCATATAACTTTTTGCTTTTTTCCAAACATTGTAAAAAAACAAAATCTGAAAAATGCAGGTTTTCGCACACATAAAGGTATTGCAGTTCGTGAATTGCTTTGGCCTAAAACAGACCAATTCATGGAGTGCAATCATTTAGCAACGAGGCATGGAAGTTCTTGCCAAATGTCCTCCCCCCCCCCCCCAAAAACACGCACAATTCCAGTAATCCGATTCTACACCTTTTTCTTCCTTTAGTGTTTGCTTTTTCCAGGAGCTACACCTTGATGTTCATCGCTCGCGCCCTGCAAGGCTTTGGTTCTGCCTGCTCATCTGTTGCAGGTAAACATACTGGCAGGTATTACTGGCAATGCCGCAAATCTCACACAGCTGGGACAACATCCTGGATTGCCAGGAGGCACTTATTTATTTGTTAATTAAATAGATTTATGCGGCTGTCCAACTCATACATGGTGTCTCCGGACAGCATATTGCACTAAAAATCCACAATATAAAACCTCTAGAAGTCCCCACTCCTCGCTGCAAACATGATCATACAAGCCACACAATCAGCTACGAATCAGCCTGGAGTCCCCGGGTTGGCTGACTAAACCATGTCTTCAGGGCCTTCCAGAAAAGTAGCAAGGAGAGAACCAACCTTATTTCTGGGGGGGATGATGTTTCTAAAGGGAAGGAGCCACTACAGAGAAAGCCTTTTTTCTAGGCTCCATTAGGCCTGCAACAGTGCCTTCCCACTGTGATGAGTTAGGACAGTGGTTCTCAACCTGTGGGTTGGGACCCCATTTGGGGTCGAACGACCATTTCACGGGGGTCGCCAAACAATGCACTCCGCCATTTTTCCCCCCTTTTCCTTAGCTGTGCTACTCCCTTTTATTCTACTCTCTTGAATAGAGTCTAATTCTATTGGCTTTCAAAAGCCAATAGGAATTGTCCAGGCTGTCTCTGCCCTGCTGAGCCCGCCAAAAGTCCCATTCTGCAAACGGTGCTGCACCAGTTGAGTAGTCCTCGACTTACAACCGGTTGAGTAGTCCTCGACTTACAACCGGTTGAGTAGTCCTCGACTTATGACCGGTTGAGGGTCGCGGCATTAAAAAGGTTGAGAACCACTGGGTTAGGAGGTTGTAAGTGGGGAAAAGATAGTCCCTCTTTTCATCTTGAAAGTGAAAATCCTTGTTTAAGTTTGGTATCTCCAGCCATGGATAGGAAAGTTGCCAGGCTGGACTCCTGAATTATTGCTATTCACGTCACTTAGCTGGATGACCAAAGATCTCGTTCACTCTAATAAACAGCCTTCCTTATTCTCAAATAAGGGACCGACAAGGATATGCCTCCGGCAAGGTATAATTTCTACATTTACATCTTGGAGTAAAGGGAGTGATGCTGAAATTATAAATGGGAAAATCTATTGAGTTGAAAAGTTTGTGGTAATTAAAGAAAGAAATAAAAAAAAGAAAATCTTCAATATTGGGGCAGATTTGGGGGGAACATTAGGGGAGCATACTTTCTCCCTTATTGCAGATGAAATTACAGCTTGCACAACAGCTGGTGGGGAAGAGCAGAGGAAAAAAAGAATTCCATAAACCGTGTTTCATAGGTAGCTTCAGTCTTTCACGTCTGCACAGTGACAATAATGCTAACACTAACCTGTGGCTTTTTCCAGCAACTCAGAACTGATCGGCTTTGCTCTGTCTCTGCCTGCAGGTCTGGGGATGCTTGCAAGTGTGTATCCCGATGACTGTGAGAGGGGAAATGCAATGGGAATAGCATTGGGAGGTCTGGCTTTGGGAGTGCTTGGTGAGTAAATGTACACTTAATATTGTTTAGGGCGTCTAGGAACTGACGCAGAGCTCACTCTGGTGTATCTCCCCAGCTACTACCATTTAGGACTCTGTTCTTTATCCAGTTGGCTTTGTCTGTAGTTCTCTGGTAGCAAGTAAGACATTTCCCAATAGCTAAGCTGGAAAAATGTAGATTTGCTGTACATCCAAATAGGTGTCTGCATGTAAGCACGACCTACTATGGATTACTGTATTGCTCAGCATGCCTGGAAGAGAACAAGTGAAGAACATTGGAGTGTACTTCAGAGTAGATACTCCTAATAAGATCACCCAAACCATGAAGCTCACTCTAGTTCCCCCCCAAACACAAACAGGGATCTATATTGAGCGGCAAGGCTATAGGAAAATACTGGAAGCTGAGCACCTTAGTGATAATAGCAAAGGCATCATTTTCAACCTGCTGGGACAAGGCAACGATAAGCCATTCCTGTATTTGACCAAGAAAACTAAATTCCTGGACAATATATTGGATGATGCTCAACACGCTACTGTGGAGCAGCTGAAGTTCTTTTGGAGTATTAGTGGTGTTTATGATGCATATTGTTGGTGATACTTTTATCTATTTGTTTATTAAAGTCACTGACAAGGTGACTCTGGTAGGGCTATGTTGATATGCAGGAAGAGAAAATCCAAACCATCCGAAACCAGACTTGAGGTGGGAACATGGAATGTTAGAAGCATGAACATGGGGAAGTTCAACACACTCAAAGATAAAATGAATTGACCACACACTGACAGGTATCAATGAACTGAAATAGATCGGAGCTGGAAACATTTAGTCAGAAGACCAGACTGTTTACTACATAGCACAACAACAATGATAACAAAGAAGGAACGTTGTAGCTTCGATCGCCAGAAAGGATATACTGTAGAAAAGACAGTTCTTGGCTACAATGCAATCAATGGCCAAATACTATCAGGTAGACTTTGTGGACAACCCTTGCCTAAGTTATCCACTGATGCGGAAGACAAGGAAGTTGATGAGTTTTATGGTCAAGTTCAATCACATCCTACAAAGAAGGTGTTTTTTTACAGTATGATTCTATTGGAAAAAATAAAGGGGTTGGACTGCGTGGCCTAGAAAAGAGAAATGAAGCAGGAAAAAGAACCGTTTACCAAGCAAATAACCCCAAATGCAAAGTGCTCTATCTTCATAGATTTGTTTTTATTATGTGTATTTTCATATTAGCCCTGCTGATGTGTTTTCTTTGCAGTGGGAGCTCCATTTGGAAGTGTGATGTATGAGTTTGTTGGGAAATCATCTCCTTTTCTGATTCTGGCAATCTTGGCTCTCTTAGATGGAGGTAAGTCATCCTTTGAAGTGGTCGGGTCAGGGCCCACCTTGAATCATTAAGCTAAAAAGGACGGCTCCAGCTGCCAATTTTTCTGTGAAATAAACACTACCCAGCATAGTGGGGCTTATTTCTCAGAAAACATCCGAAGAAGAGGGCAGGGTCAAGGGAGAACTGAGCTACTGAAGCAGGGAACAGGAACAGAGGTAAGGTTCAGCATAATTAGTAGGAAAGATGGAAGGATATTTCCAAGCCCGAAATAATAATATTTCTGTTTTAGCTTTGCAGCTTTGTATCCTGCATCCAACGAAGATTTCACCTGAGGTAGGGCAAAAAGACCCATTCATGTTTCCTTTCGTGTATGTACTGAAATATTTTTTAACTCTACTTATTGATGCAAAGGATCTACACATCTATTTCCTTCTGTTTTTTTTCAATGCAAAATGAAATGATTGTTTAAAAAAAGAATAATCTAAACTATCAGAATAGGAGCTATAAAAGCAAGAGCAAAGCAAGCATTTTACTCTAATAAAGCAGAATCTTTTCTGCAACCCCCCCCAACTAATATCTTCCTCTTCTCTGTGTATTTTCCAGAGTATCAAAGGAACCTCCTTGTTGACCTTGTTGTGGGACCCCTATATTTTGATTGCAGCAGGTAAGTTTTTCTTACCGGGCATTAATAAATAATAATAATAATAATAATAATAATAATAATAATAATAGTAATAATAATAATAAAGTTGGAAGGGACCTTGGAGGTCATCGAGTCCAACCTCTTGCTCAGGCAGGAAACTCTATACCATTTCGGACAAATGGCTGTCCAGTCTCTTCTTAAAAACTTCCAGTGTTGGAGCATTCACCGCTTCAGGAGGCAGGTTGTTCCACTGGTTAATTGTTCTAACTGTCAGGAAGTTTCTCCTTAGTTCTAGGTTGCTTCTCTCCTTCGTTAGTTTCTATCCGTTGCTTCTTGTCCTGCCTTCAGGCGCTTTGGAAAATAGTTTGACTCCCTCTTCTTTGTGGCAGCCCCTGAGATATTGGAATACTGCTATCATGTCCTCCCTCGTCCTTCTCTTCATTAAACTACACATATCCAATTCCAGCAACCGTTCCTTATATGTTTTAGATTCCAGTCTCCTAATCATCTTTGTTGCTCTTCTCTGTACTCTTTCTAGAGTCTCAGCATCTTTTTTACATTGTGGTGACCAAAACTGGATGCAGTATTCCAAGTGTGGCCTTACCAAGGCCTTGTAAAGTGGTATTAACACTTCATGTGATCTTGATTCTATCCCTCTGTTAATGCAGCCCAGCACTGTGTTGGCTTTTTTGGCAGCTGCAGCACGCTGCTGGCTCATATTTAAGTGATTGTCCACTGTCCCTCTCACAGTTGCTACCTGTCTTCTAAACTTAGCTTCTGTAGAACTGTGGTGGGTTTAGAAAAGATTCTTCTGATCAGCACCACCATTGCTTATTGTTTCTGGTCCTGCCTGCTGGAACAACACAGCATAAATGCATGGTTGGCTGCCGTACAGTTGAAGATGGTTTTACACCTCTCCAAGCAAAACGCACCCTACTCTTTCTATTGTCCCATGCAGCAAATCAGAGAGTCTAAAGGGGGTATTTGTAGGAGAGGAGCAGGCAGAGCCAGGGGCAGAGTTAAGCAAGTTATCAGCCTAGAGTCGTTTTGTTCCCACAAATGGTCTCAATCCGTCCTGTCTTGAATTCTCCTGACTCTTATCTAGTACCAATTTAGTGCTGAATGTTAGTTGACTATATTTTTGTGTATAAGCTCGAGCAATACATCTTCTTCACTGCAACTTAACTTATGGTCCTGATTCTTTGCACCTAACCGTATTAGGTCATTGCGTATAGTGCAGATTTCCAAATTAATTGCTGTCCAACTTCTCATTCAAGCACATCCAATAAACGTTGAGCTCAGCCTGTGTAGAAGACTCCATTGTCAAACTAACAGAAGAATTTGAAGGAAGTCCTTCCTAAAATTCTCTCTGCCCGAAAGGCATTATTTCCTATTTTACATTTGCCCTCTTGGGCTAAGCAATGACTGCATTTCTTGGCTTTTTTCTGTAGGATACTCCTTTAGCTACTCAACAAGTGCTATCATGTCCACTTTCACTTGGGGTTTTGCAACTCCAAGAACATTCAGTTCCCTCCCATCCCTTGTCATTGGCCTCCAGTCTCCCAGTCATTCCAATACAGCCTTTCTTTCCAGCTATGTTTTACTTTCCCCACATCTTTCTTCAGATGTAATGCTCTCAACTGCACACTGTAATTGGGGTGGGAGTCTGGCCGATGCTCTGCCAACTGGAAGAAAACTCACAAAGGTTCTGCATCTTTTCTCTCCCTCCAGGTTCAATTTGCTTTGGAAACATGGGAGTTGCTATTTTGGAGGCTACCTTGCCCATATGGATGATACAAACCATGTGCTCCCCAGAATGGCAACTGGGTAATTTTTTTTAAAAAAAATAATTTTCATAGGAATTGGATGGTGATAAAAATATGTTTAGGTTAATTTAGCGTTTAAATTTTACACTAAATACACTATATATTTAAAATAAGTTCAAGAGGACTTCAAAACCATTTGTGTTCCTTGGGGTGGACTTGGTCTTTGAATGGCAAGCTGAAAGCCATACTTCAAAATTAGCAGATGGGTCAGGAGTCAAATTTGTTTTAATTTGGTTTATATTTAATTAAAATGAAAATAATGCTTATGAAAAAGATAATTTCCTCTTCTGTCCAATGAAAAGCATTCAGTGGGAACTGGAAAGGAACTCTGGGATTGGCATTGTATTGTATCTTTGATGCATCAGCTTTGAGCAAGTTGGAAGAACCGTGTCTTCCTTCCTATAGGAAACAGGCTCAAAATGGGAACTGTCCATGAAGGTTGGCCATTATCTTTATCTGGACAGGAAGTACTATAATAGATTTCCTGTTTGGACTGCAACTTTGCCCAAACCAAAGTAATCTTTCTAATGCTTGTATGAGTTTGTGTGTCTCTCAGTTTTATTCCTAGCCTCATAGCTGTCTGCCTTATCCTTCAGTCTCACCCTAGCAGCAGCACAGGTAGACTCATGTGTTCTGATGCACATGAATAGTGCAGTATTAACTAAAACAAGAGGGTCTTCCGTCATCTGTTAATGAAAGCTGATTCAGTCAAGAGAAAGAAAAAGAAAGAGTGAAATCTGGGACTATGGCCATTGAAGAGTTCCTTACTGATTAAAGAAAATGCTTCTTTAGAGGCAGAAGGATGGTGACTCAGCCTATGGCAATTATGTGCCACCATGGAGATGGAATAATGAGATGAAATAGCTGTCTTGTGCTGTAAAAGGCATTGACATTGAATTTATGGAGCAACAATGCTTTCTCTGTGACACTTTCTGCCACAACAATTGAATTGCTACCTTGGCTCAGCAGAGTGATTGAGGGCTGCTAATCAGTTTAAAAAGCCAGCCAGGAGGAACCCTCGATAAGGTGGAGGATCTGTGAGGATGACTTGCCATCTTCTTTTTGCCTTTCAGAAAAACAGCAGGGGAGATGTGGGTGAGGTTGTTGTCAAGAGGATGGCAAGAAAATAGGGGTAGTGATAGTGAAGGGATGCCCATTCTAAGCCTGGAGGCAACATCCATGCTGGGCAAAGTTCTCCATAGTCTTCCTAGATCTGCACTCCCCTGGTTTTGTAACACCATCCCATTATTTTTTGCATGTCCATTCTCCCTATTTTTATGTCCCTTGATATTTGCTTTGCTCCACTTGTGCATGGCATCTTTGTTTTATCCTTTGTTTTGGCAGAATCTATGTTGATTTTCTTATAATAATAACAACAACAGCAAAACAACAGCAATAACAGCAGCAACAATAATAATAATAATAATAAATTTGAAAGGGACCTTTGGAGGTCATCTAGTCCAACCCCCTGCTCAGGCAGGAAACCCTATACCATTTCAGACAAAATGAAAACAATAAATCTGGGGTCCCCAATTAATAAGTCTCTGAGCAGTTCCTTTGATTACTGCCAGAAGGAACATTCTCTGCAGTGCATTAATCATCTAAGGCAAACTGTCAAACTGCCCCAGTTCAGGTGACGTGGCAAGTTTGACACCCGTGATCTAAGGGTGGCTGAGAAAGCCGATATTTCAGGACCATGGATAGCCCCAGAGTGAAAACTTGCATCCCTAGTTTTTCTCTCTGGTGCTTCCCTCTTCCTAAATAAACTTTGGGGGAAAATGGAGCAATGCTTTGATTTTGAGCCAAATGGCGCATTCATTTGTTTGCGTGATTTATAAAACTGTCCATCTCACAGCAGTGACTCTGGATAGTGTACACAGATTAAGATCACCACCACTATTTATAACCCATGACACCCTGATTAAAACAACAACCTCTTAAACAACAGGCACATCACCTTCAGAAACTCCTGGCCCTTGTCCACCAATTGTCATTGTTTCCTGTACAGGGGTCCAAATCCTTGCTTGTTACCATGTTCAACTGAGTGATCGGAACCATGGTTTTTCTTAATTCTAATCTATAGAGTGAAGATGAAAAAAAAAGCGAGAGTGGAACTAGGATGAATTTCTTGGAGAAAGGAAAAACTAAACATGTATTAATTTTGCTTAACAATTGAAAGAGCAATGAATGGGATCTAGATTTCATGCCATTTAGGGCAGACTAATTGAAAAAAAAAAAACCTTCCACAAAGCGGTATCTCATATAGCTCAGACTGTTTTTTTCCAATGGGTGGGAAAGATATGAGTTGCGCTTCAGCACCATCTTAGCTATAAAAGAATCATATTTCATCTCATATTCAAGGATCTCCAATCCACAATTATAAATATCAAAACACTTTTGTTTGTTCCTTTACTGGAAAAAACCTTATAATTATATACAACAGATCTTCAATATGAAATGTAAATACATTGAAAAAGTATGCTATAAAATCAGGATGGCACGATTGGCTGACATTTACATACTGAGTACATTTTTTGTTTTTAATTTGCTCAACCTGCTGTTCCTTAGCAAAATGAAAAGAGCGTAAATTTCCCCAGAGGACCTGCAAAACAAGTAGAAAATCTAGGAAATTAAACACCAATGATTGAGTTTCTATAAGCCCATTGTGTCATTTTCAGGCAAACAGAGATGCTGGTGATAACATCTGTCATCTGCAGGAGAATAAATTAATGATAAGGAACTGCCTGTCAAATATTTAATTTTGGTTCAATTATAACTGAAAAGCAAATTACTCTTCAGTTGGTGCAACGTGTAAAGTAGAAATAAGGGAGGAAGGGATGGGCTTAATATAGGTCAATGCCTGCAAGGACCTGACCATGAAACTCGTTTTGAATACAATGGATGTTATGAAGCACTAGATAAATTTCGCAGTTCAGGCAGGAAGTAGCTATCTCTTAGCAACTGGGTGCTGCCTCTAAAGCAGGGCTTTTCAACCTTTTCACCAATTGTACCACTTTTAGGATATGGCAACATCCAAGTACCACCTAGCTAGCAAGGTGTCAAAAACTTGACCAAAAAAAAAAAGGAAAAAGTGATAAAGTACAGGTAGTCCTCAACTTACAACAGTTTGCTTAGTGACTGTTTGAAGTTACAATAGCACTGAAAAAAGTGCTCCCCAAGTCACAGGCGAGCAAGACACCTGCCTGCCCGCCTGACCTCTTCCTCCTGTCCGAGGTTTTCATTGTTGTGAGCATTTCTGTTGAGGATTGGCAGTGGGGGTGGGGTGGGGGGTGTTTGGTTTTTATTCCCCCCCCCGTCTGCTGGGTGGTTGCAGCAGGTTTTGGTCACTTCACATGACCCTGGGACACTGACCGTCATAAATATGAATCAGTTGCCAAGCATCTGAATGTAAATCACCCTGGAGATGCTGCAACATTCCAGCTGATCGGCGCTTCTTCTGGGCTCAGCAGAAGTGCCAGGATCAGCGCCAAGCTCCAGCTGGAGCCTGGCGCTGAGCCCTGACAGCCCTGCAGCTCCAGCCATTTCTCGCTCAGGCTTATGCAGTGCTGCCACCGTTTCAGCTCATTCCCCTCCCCTGCTACCACTTTTCTAGGATGGTCGCGTAGTACCTGCCAGCTGCCAATGTACCACAGGTGGTACCCGTACCACTGGTTGAAAAGCCCTGCTCTAAAGATTCATCATGCTTAGTATCTTTTGTTAGATCTTTGCTCCATACCTTGTCTATTTTCAATTGAACACCAAGTTTTTTTTATAGGACAATCTGCAATCACACTCTGGTTCCTTGTTTTTATTGAAGAATATGTCTGTTGTGTAAGACCGATTGATGTACATACACACAAACACCCACCTATACAATAGGATTCCAAGCAAAGGTTCAGGAGGGACTTTGGTCCTTTGAAATGCTTTGATGCCTTTTTTTCAAATGGGTCCTCTTTTGTTTTGCAGGGATAGCTTTTCTGCCTGCCAGTATCTCTTATCTAATTGGGACCAATCTCTTTGGGATACTGGCCAATAAAATGGGGCGGTAAGTAAAAAGGTTTTTGAATTTTGAAGTACTTGAACTATTGTTGCAGTTTTTGAAGGTGTTGTCATGGAGGAAGGAGTAATTTTGGGGAGTGTTTCCTTTGTGATGTAGATTAAATCAGGATCTAATCTAATCTAATCTAATCTAATCTAATCTAATCTAATCTAATCTAATCCTATCTATCTATCTATCTATCTATCTATCTATCTATCTATCTATCTATCTATCTATCTATCTATCTATCTCCATTCATCCCTAGCCAACTACCCAACCCCAATCTACTTATCTATCCATCCATCCCTTATTTATCTATCCTGCAATATTTAGCTTACCTAAAGATCTAATTACCTACCTACTTACCTACCTATTGGTTAGAATTCCACAGAGAATTATTGCAGGTATTTCAGGACACTTCCGATAGGGGAATCTATTGTTGATTTCTGCAAAGAAAGGTCACCCCCGTATTGATGGCTTTATTGAATTTGCAAGATGAAACATTCAAACAGCCTTTGGAACTTTTGATATTGTTTGTTCATTGCCTTTCTTGGCAGCTGGCTGTGTTCATTGATTGGGATGATGGTCATAGGAGTCAGCCTCCTCTGTGTGAGTATGACAACACATTGCATAACCAGAAATGAAGAAACCAGGCCAAAAGCCCTAATTCCAGCTTAATATCTGCCAACATTATTGCAGGTAGCACAGGAATTTCAAAGAAGATATGAAGGTGGCAGCCTGGATCCTAACAGAATTTTATGAGAAAAGACATATACTAGTAAACAATGGAAAAACATGGGAAAATTGAAAAGTGAAGGAAAAAAGACTCTTCCCAATCTTTCAACCATTTCTTGTGTGATTTTCCCATCCTATACGTTTTTTCTCTGGACCTTCATGGTTCTAGTCCAGTGAATTCCTTCAAAGTAACTAGAATCTGACCTGGTTAGGACATAAACCTAACTAAGGAACAATGGCTTATTTTGCTTAGTGTCTTATGCAAATCTACTCATTATAATTTAGAAACCATGATTTATTGTGTACTCTAGTTAGCTTTGTTAAACCATGGCTAAACAAATCATATCAAGGTGTGATATGCCAGGAGGCTGATAGAAAAAAATACACTTTGAAGGATTTCCCAAAAGGCTTTAAGGGCTGGAGCTGACCTCACCTTATCCTGTCTAAGGATTGAATGTTGCATCAATATTTCCGCTGCCTTTTCATCAAAAATAAGAGATACTGTCATGACTTCTTCTGAGTCTTAATCCAGCCTTTCTCTTGTATAACCCCTAGATTCCCCTGGCTCAGAATATCTACGGACTCATTGGACCTAACAGTGGACTTGGTTTGGCCCTTGGTAAGATTTTCAAAGACTTGGTAGCCTGCATCAAACCAATTCAGGACAATTATCTTCAGCTAATTTTACTAGGTACAGATCGAGCTGAATTGTTTTAGAAAAGGAAGTGAAACTTTCCTGCAGTCAAGCCCAGCTGAGGGATTTTATGGGCACATTAATTCTTGGCAGAAGATTTCACTATGGGGGTGGGAAGAGTAACTTTTTTGAGGTTGAAAACTGAAGAGAACACAATTTCAGATGGTTTATGATGGCTACTTCATTCCAGCCTCAGAGAATATTTTGGAAGCATCGTGGCTTGTTGTTCATGAAACATGAACGGGAGATGAAATGCTGTTTCTTATGACATCTTTTTGTTTTATTTTGGGGACAGGCATGGTGGATTCGTCAATGATGCCTATCATGGGGTACTTGGTGGATCTTCGCCACACGTCTGTTTATGGCAGCGTCTATGCCATTGCTGACGTGGCTTTCTGTCTGGGCTTTGCTATTGGTACGGACTAATATGCATCATGGTGATGTAAACTGCATTTTTGTTGCATCTATATGCTGGCAATTCCTAGGAGACTAATTGTTTATTTACAAAAATAAGGTTTTTCTAACATGTGCATGACAGAAAAAGAATGAAAGCAACAGCCAGATCTAGTTATGCTTCGAGGAGACTCATTCCAATCAACACAGAATGTTATCATGGATAACTTTTTAAAATGGATTTCAGTCAGTCTATGCATACATTAGGGAGGGAGTTTAATTTGTTAGAACTAAGTTTGTAAGTTTTGAATTGATAAGATGCAATTTACTGGAAGACAGAGGCATGTGAATTATTATGAATTATTTACTGTGTTGGTTACATCCTGCCATTCATACAGCAGCTGAAAGTCCTCTCTTTCCTTCAATTTCCCCACACAAAAGTAGGCTGGGCAGAGAGGGAGTGATTGGCCCAAAGTCAATCCCATGTTGATCCAATGACTGAATCTGATCTCCTCATGCTTAGTCCATTGTCTCTCCGCGAGAAGAACAGAAGTTTCTAAAGGAGATCTGCACTTCAGCACTTTTACAGCTCTCCCCAATTTGCTGATTCTTCTGGTCGGTGTATAGACTAGAGCAGGGGTCTTCAAACTTGGCCCTTTTATAACTTGTGGACTTCAACTCCCAGAATTCCTCAGCCAGCGTGTCTGGCTGAGGAATTCTGGGAGTTGAAGTCCACAAGTCATAAAATGGCCAAGTTTAAAGACCCCTGGCATAGAGGCTGCCTCTTGATCACAGCACTTACTCTTTTTAAGATTGGTGATTCTCTTCTCCGACAGGATCCTGAACCCTAAACCTACTTAGTTTTTTTTTTTTTATAAAAAAAATCCCTTTTTCTCACCTTTTAATTTTCCCTTTGCTGCCAAAAAAACAAGCCAATAAGCAACAACAACAGAGAAATGCATCTTCCTCTACCTCCTTTATTGAACAAACTAAGGCTAGCTCTCCCTAGTCAGAATAACATGAGTATTGTTTTTAACAGGTCCCTCCACAGGGGGCGCTCTAGTAAGAGCCATTGGCTTCCCTTGGCTCATGGTCATCATTGCAGGCATCAACCTCGCATATGCGCCTCTGTGTTGGTTTCTACGGAGCCCCCCAGCCAAAGAGGAGAAGATTGTGAGTTTGGCCCAAAATGGGAGTGGGTGGGTTCCTGGTGGTTGAATCCCAAGGGGAAATAAAAAAATATCCAAAGGATGGTTTGTGTATTTATCTATTTATTGTTGATAATAATTAACTATTTTTCTTAATAATTAAGGCATTTGTATCATTTGTAATTATTAAATAATTATCTAATCTCTTTAAGACTGATGCCAGGCCCAGCCCAAGAATGACCATAGAGCTGGGGTCCTCAACCTTGGCAACTTTAAGACTTGTGGACTTCAAATCCCAGAATTCCTCAGCCAGATATGCTGGCTGAGGAATTCTGGGAGATCAAGTCCACAAGTCTTAAACTGCCAAGGTTGAGCATCCCTGCCATAGAGCAATCCAGCCAAAGTTTAGTTCCTTATTTGCTCATATCATATAGAGAGAACTTCAGCCTCTACTACTCTCATCCCAACCGATATATCCCAGCAGATTCTAGAGAGTGGCTACCCTAAATCCTTTCCTCTTTCTCCAATCTAGATCCAGGCTGTGTTGTGTCTTATCTCTCCCACCCCCACCTCCTCAGAATGCGTTCCCTCCATCCTGAGAAACTGCCACCTTCACGCCATCTGCCCCCCTTTGCAAACATAATCCCTCACACTTGGTTTTGCTTCACTATTTGCAAGATATATCACAAATTACTTCACACCTTTGATAACAACTGTGGTTGTTATTTTCTCCCTCACATTTTGTTTCCTTCCTCAATTTTGAGCCTATTGATGACTGTGCTACTAAAGCATCTTGCCTTGAAGTTCAAGGGCTGAGGAAATAAGTGATCAGGGAGCGATTTAGATGCCATAACACAGGGGTCTTCAAACTTGGCCCTTTTATGACTTGTGGACTTCAACTCCCAGAATTCCTCAGCCAGTGTGCCTGGTTGAGGAATTCTGGAAGTTGAAGTCCACAAGTCATAAAAGGGCCAAGTTTGAAGACCCCTGACAGAACAGGTCCTTTGAAAAACAAATTCTAGATTGATATCACCGGGTATGACAATGATGCTCATGCTGGTCTTTTGCTTCCTGTCTCCCTGTCTCTGATCTTTCAGGCGATTCTAAACCAGGAGTGTACTGTGCAATCCAGACGTTCCATTACTCAAAAGACACTTCCAGAGTTTCCACTCACAGACAACAGCGATGAAGAAAATGAGACTGATTTCTAAAAAGAGGGATCCACCTCTCCCTTTCTTTTTCTCTCTCTTTCAAATCCTCTTCTATTAACTGTATCCTGTATTTTTTTTCCTGGCAAAGTCCATTGTTGTAGCTTGCGGAGTGACCAAATAAGAAGAATCTTTGAGACCTTTCTTTCAGAATTTTAGGGCTGTAAGCTCTCTGTTTATTTAGGGCAGGGGTCTTCAAACTTGGCCCTTTTATGACTTGTGGACTTCAACTCCCAGAATTCCTCAGCCAGCATGCCTGGTCGAGGAATTTTGGGAGTTGAAGTCCACAAGCCATAAAAGGGCCAAGTTTGAAGATCCCTGATTTATGGAGTTATTTCCAGTTCTGAGAGGGAGGCCTACTGTACTTTAGGCCTTTCTTCTCTCATCTCAAAACAATATTTGCCAGAAAAAAATTTTCTTAACACTCTTAGCTGCTTCACTGCTTTTAACAGGAGCTTGCAGACAGCTCTCCACGTGATTATTAGCACTATAGCAAAATATGCATTATAAAAAGAGAAAATTGCCCTCAAATGGAGCTCAGCTCTTAAATATCCTTGGAATTTTCTCAGCAACAGACTGAGCTATTTGTCCACTTCCCAATCAATGCCGCAACCTAACCCAGCTCCAAGCATTTATTGGCAGAGTGTCATAAGATTGTCATGATCTCTTAGTGACAACAAATGGCTCACAATGTCATTGTGCAAGATATTGGAAGTGCAAAGTCTGACAGTTTTGATTCTCTCTCCTTGAAGATGCCCATGTATAAATGATGCTGGAAGCAAACTTGAAGGTTAGAGGCAGCATTTCTCTCGTACTCAAACATCTCGTCTTGCACAGTTTTTGTGATATTTTGGGCAATCCTAATAAAGATATTTCTTAGTTATGTTTCCCCTCCCACCTTTTTAATTCTTTGTTAATTCCTTTTATATTCTATAAATGTGTGTTTAGGTCCTCTTGTGGATGAATTGATCAGTGCAGGCTCATCAAACCTATGGTATGTATCAGCTATTTAGTGAGCTAACTTTTAATAAGCTTATAATGTGAATGCTCACCCAAGCTGATGGAAAGCAAAGAAGGTATACTCTGAGGCACTCATTAATTTCTTTGGGCTGCTTGCATGTGCAGCAGAGAGGGAAAGAACCATTATATCACGGATGTCAAACTCACAATGTCACGTGATGTGTTGTGACGTATTGTGACTTTTTTTGCCATTGCCAGCAATGGGGTGGACACGGTTTTGCTATGATGCACCCGGCCCACGGGCCAGCAGTTTGACACCCCGGCATTATACTGTTTGTTCCTGAAATTAAAAAAAAAAATACTTGTAACACAACATGTTCAAACCTGTTGCCTTATGATTCCTTTGCCAATTTGGTTCGAGAAGTGAAGCACCAGTAGGGTTTCAAGGGATCTGAAAAAAGCAAAAGAGGATGTGGACAATTAGAAAAGAGGAGAAATTGGAGAAAAGGAGGATGCTCAAACGCTTTTAACTTTCTTGGCCTCTGCAACAAAAATTATGTGGAAAACTGTCCCTCTCAAAGACCTATAAGAAATTACTTTTTCCAGCACCAGAAAGACTGGGTTTTCAATTCCAAAAAAGGTGCTAGAGCAGCGGTTCTCAACCTATGGGTCGCGACCCCATTTGGGGTCGATCGACCATTTCACGGGGGTCGCCAAGTAAGGCTGTCCGCCATTTTTTTCCCCTTTTCCGGCGGGTGCCTTACCTCCCTTGGGCTGGGTCAGCTGGTGGCCCAGCCGGTGGTCGGCCTGCTCCATCTCTGCCGCTTGTCAGCTATGCCTCGGCCAGCGCAGGGGGCAGCACCACGCATGCGTGGCGCTCCCGGGCAGGGAAAGTCCTCGACTTACGACCAGTTGGGTAGTCCTCAACTTACAACCGGTTTAGTCCTTGACTTACAACCAGTTTAGTCCTCGACTTATGACCAGTTGGGGGTCGCAGCATTAAAAAGGTTGAGAACCACTGTGTTAGAGCATTACCCATAAAGAAGAATAAAGATTATTTGTGACACAGGGTTGAAATAAAGAGTCTTTGCACTAATGATGTTACCTAGTTTGGGTAATGAAACATTTATCAGAAAACCACTGAGCTCAGAGAGCATCCAGGACCCCTTGATTTAAGGACCCTTACAGTATTAACTTGCCTTAGCACTAATTAAGAAAGATTTGCCCCTCAGAGAAAAGTTGCTCATGCAGCTTGTTAGATACTCAAAAAGCTGGACAATATTTGACTTTGAGGCTATGCCTGCCGGATGGAGAACATGGATTCTTTTTGCCAAAGGTTTAGTAACTCTAAGCAGGAGCAGCAATTGCAAGGATTTCATCCAAGAAGCTTCTTCAGCTCCGACTGGATACTGTGGAATGGAAGGATTTGGATTAAATGACCACCTGTCTACAAGGAATAGAAATCCTTCCATTCCCCACCATCCAGTCAGAGCCGAAGAAGCTTCTTGGGGGAGAAGTGAAACGTCTTCCAAGAAAATCAAGAAAGTCCAGCTGCCTCCTGAAAAAGCATCTTTGGGATCTAGGTAGCTTTCTTCTCTGCCCAGTTATGGAAAACTTTGGAGCCCTCTTTTGCATCTTCCCAGGAACAAGCGCTACCTGCACATCCACACTTGCTCCTAACCAGGGCATGAAGGCGCCCCGGTTTGCTTTTTCCTTCCGTCTCTCTGAAAGCTGCCTCTGTCTCCTTCCCAGCCGGTCTCAGCCATTGCTTTAAAAATCTTTTCAACTTCCAGCTGGTGTTTCCCTCTTATCCTGGCACAACACTGACTCCAAGTTAAGAGAAAGAAGCGCCTTTAATTTAATTTGAGATGCCCTAAATAGGATATTTTTGGTCAGCGCAGAGAAGTCCCCAGGTGGGACTGAGTTTGCTTGCAAGAAAACTAAAAAGAAGCGAGCAGCAGAAACTTTCCTTGAACCCGTCAGCGCACCGCGGCTAGCACGTCTTCAAAAAAATCTAGGGTGGAGCATGCGCAGTCGTCGCCCTGGCTCGCGGAGTTTGGTCGTCGGAGGTCTCGCGAGATTTCCGCGACGAGGTTTCCACCCTCGCTCGTCCGACGCGTGTGTTGGCTTCGCGGCGGTGAGATGCATTCAGACGACGTGAGTTTGGGGGGGGGGGGAGAGGTGCCTGGGGGTGGGTCTCGAGTAGTGTGGGGAGGAGTTATTCTGGGAAACGGATGTGGTTCGGTTCGGGGGTTCAGGGGAATCGCCGCTCCCGGATGAGCTTCCTCCTTCCACGTGGGAGCGGAGGCTGTTGGGGCTGGACGCGCTTGGGCTGCATTGAGCGTCGGAATCCGCTCCTTGGGACACGTGCTCAGCTTTTAGGGAGAGTACCTGCCATGAGTCCTCCTCTTCCTAATTAAAGTCTCAAGAGAAGAGAATGCTGGAGCATGTGCAGAATGCCCCGGCTTCATCCCCGACTCCAGCATTAGGATCTGGGTGTAGAGAGCAGAGAAGGGCAACTCTGAGCATGTGCAGAATGCCCCAGCTTCATCCCCAACTCCAGCATTAGGATCTGGGTGTAGAGAAGGGCAAATCTGAGCATGTGCAGAATGCCCCGGCTTCATCCCCGACTCCAGCATTAGGATCTGGGTGTGGAGAGTAGAGAAGGGCAACTCTGAGCATGTGCAGAATGCCCCGGCTTCATCCCCGACTCCAGCATTAGGATCTGGGTGTAGACAGTACCTCTGGGCATATGCAGAATGGTCATTGCTTTATATCTCTGACTCCAGCATTAAGTTCTGGGCATGAAAAGTAGGGAAAGGCAACCTCTGAGCATGGGCAGAATATGAGTGTGGAAATTTGGAGACAAAAAACAAAACAAAAAAGGCAAAACATGTTTATATTTCAATAGAAAACTCAACTATACAAGATACAGATATGCTTTATATAGAATTGCTTGCTTTGATGGGCTTTTAGTCTCTTATATCTCTCCCTGTTTGTACATATTACCAAGTGCATACCACACAGGTATTTTAATACACTAATAGATCCATAGAACTACATCGCTTCCTTCTTCTGTTTCAATAATGTTATAGCTACGTGTTATCATCCTGCTAATTTAATTTATTAAGGAAATTGTATGTCCTTATTAGTAGAGCAGCCACGATAGTTAATGTAATTTTAAAATAATCAGTAAACTGAAACAGTGGCATCAGTTGTGCATCATTAAGGTAGAGCTTGTTTGGTTCACCCAAATAACCTCCCCAAGGTGTGTACATTTTGAGCCAAAAAGAAGATAATCATTAACATGATCTTTTTCTTTTAGATTGTTTGGGATACTCTTGGCAACAAACAGTTCTGCTCATTTAAGATCAAGTTAGTATTTATCTTTACTATATGTGCTGAATTCAAGGGTTAGAACTGAAGGGGAGATAACTGATCTCTTGTAGATATTCTGGATTACATGATCAATCTGTCTCAGACACCATGCCAGTGATTAGGTTTTATGGGGTTTGTGGTCAGAATATTTGGGAAACTCCAGGTGGTTTTCTCTTGGGGTGGATCTTTTTTTGGACAATGAATTTAAATAACAAATTCATTCACATTTCCAACTTTTTAATATCCATGGTTTTTTTCCACCAGCATGTTGCAAGGAGGCTGTTATAAAAAATATCAAAAAAATCTGTTTGCAGTTGAGTTGAATCAGCTATTTGCTGATTTTAGTGCTAAGAAAGATCAGCCTTTGTTAGGACTTTTATGGAGACTGCTTGTGAATTCTAGGGTTGTTTGCTGAAACGGGGAGTTGAAAAACCATCCTGAAGAAATGGAGAAATAAATCACTTTTGTTACGTTGCTGAAGAATTTGCAGAAAGACAGGGACCAGGACCTGAAGACATTTTTACCTTTTAGAATCTTTATACAATCCAGAAATACTGTTTTTTGCATTACTCAAATTACAATAAATCTACATAGGGAGCAGTAGTGAATTTTTAAGGGTTTATTTTTCTTGGCATAGAGATGCATTTGGGCCATGGGGATTCTACTTTGGGCAGTCCCAAGGCACCTGGATTGTAGCCTGATGTTGGGCCTAGTGATTCTATGATAATATTCAGTAATGGGGATGAGAAGTAATGCATGGTGTTTAAAAGGGGCTAACTTTACAACTGTTTCTTTTACAGAACAAAAACTCAGAGCTTCTGCCGAAATGAATATAACATAACAGGCTTGTGCAATCGTTCATCGTGTCCCTTAGCCAACAGTCAATATGCTACTATTAAGGAGGAGAAAGGTAAAGAGTTCTTACTGTGGCTTTTCAACATCACAGTATTTTTTCTTTAATGGAGCAGGACCTGTTAAGGTCCATCAACAGGAAAGTTTGGAAGAAGATTGAAGAACTGCTTAGCTTACTACAAAAACAATTATAATAGTGTATAAATTTATATGCTGCCAGTGAGTCTGGGTGATTACTGTGGTTAAAAACAAAGAATAATACAAAAATACAGAAACAGCTCAAGACAGAAGATGGGGAAAAAACCAAACATGAAGGGGAACAAGGAAAAGAAAAGGATGTCGGGTGTCCTCACCAGAAGCCTGGTCTTTAAGAGTTAGTCTTTAAGGCAGTGGTTCTCAACCTGTGGGTCGGGACCCCATTTGGGGTCGAACGACCATTTCATGGGGGTCACCAAACCACGCTGTCCGCTATTTTTTTCCCTTTTCCCTAGCTGTCCTACTCCCTCTTATTGGTGGCCACACCCACTTGGGGGTCACCACAACATGGGGAACTGTATTATGGGGTCACGGCATTAGAAAGGTTGAGAACCACTGCTTTAAGGCCCCTTGAAATACCAGCAGGATGGCACTCCTTCAGATCTCAGGGGGAACCTCATTCCAGAAGGCAGGTGCCTTCTTTAATTGATGGGCCCCAGAATAATGTGCTCGCCCTGAGGATAATTTCCCGGGAAAAGGCTGGGATATTGTGAGCATCAATCACAGGAACTTGTAGAATGTATAGGTTAATGCAGGGGTCTTCAAACTTGGTCCCTTTATGACCTGTGGACTTCAACTCCCAGAATTCCTGAGGCAGGGCTGGCTGAGGAATTCTGGGAGTTGAAGTCCACAAGTCTTGAAGTTGCCAGGTTTGAAGATTCCTGGATTAATGCTTTTGGGGCAGATAGCTTGTATCTGTAACTATGAGTGTGGCAAGCCTAACGATGTTTCACATCTCTGCTTATTTTTGCTCATGTTTTAGGACAATGTTACCTTTACATGAAGACCATCGAACGGTCTGCTTTTCCCAATCGGCTCTGGGAACGAGTAAGTTCTCCTTTTGTATGTGCCAGGACTAAATTTGACACCTTTTTAAAAACATTCCTTTAAGTTTACAATTGGGGTTGACTATCCCTGTAGACAATGGTACCCTTCGACTTATATACCGCCCCATAGTGCTTCATAGCACTCTGAATGGTCTACAAATGTCAGCCTATGGCCCCCCCCCCAACAATCTGGGTCGTCATTTTACCAACCTCGGAAGGATGGAAGGCTGAGTCAACCTTAAGCTGGTCAGAATCGAACTCCTGGCAGTGGGCAGAGTCAGCCTGCAATACTACATTCTAACCACGGCGCCACCATAGCTCTTTGCTACCTGCCTCCTCCGCTTTCATTTCTGGCAGGTCCGGCTGAGCAAAAACTACGAGAAAGCATTAGAAGAGATTGACGAGAACCTCATCTACTGGCCCCGCTTCATCCGGCACAAATGCAAGCAGCGCTTCACCAAGATCACCCAGTACCTGATCCGGATCCGCAAGCTGACGCTGAAGAGGCAGTAAGTGGCGTTGTCCAGGCCTTCTCAGTTCAGCAGGGGCTACCACTGCAGAATGCCAGACGGGCTTGTTGCTGGCCTGAGAGAGCTGCAGTTTCTGGGCACCTGGCTGGCCCAGCTGTTCCATCAAAATCTTCTGTCTCTTTCAGGAGGAAACTTGTTCCGTTAAGCAAGAAGATCGAAAGGCGCGAAAAGAGACGCGAGGTAAAGCACCGTATCTGCCACGGAGATTCCTCATTCTTTGCTGTTTTGCCTCACAAAGCAGCCCCTGCTGCTGTCTGCATTGGTTGCTGCAACATCTTGAACATAATGTTCAAGATGTTCAAGCATCCAGTGGATATCCTCATCCTAGAAAGTCCAGAGATCCCCCCACCAGATGAGCAAATTCTCAGAGGGTGATCCACTTTAGAGCAACGCTAAGATTCACCCTGTCCACCCCTTTGGGATGGATCTGTTTATACTTAGTTTGCATTGAGCATGATAACCAACACGATTCTCAAGTTTTTTTGGAGGGGGAAACGGCCTTTGTAAAATCCTGGTTTTTTTTTTTTTGTTTTGTTTTTAGGAGAATGGAAGGAACCAGCCCATTCTCACATAATACTATCTTTCATCTTCCACTGTTCCTTGTTTCCTTCTTCCAGGAAAAAGCCCTAATTGCAGCTCAGCTGGACAACGCGATTGAAAAGGAATTACTGGAGCGGCTCAAGCAGGATACGGTATGATCTCTTAGCAGGAAGATCAGAAAAGGGGTTGGGTTGCCAGACCATTTCCAGAGGGTGGAGGAAGGGCGCTCAGCTACCTGCTCTGGGCTTTAGGTCTCAGAGGCAGGAGCTGAATTGTGATATTTAGCTTAAGCAACAGGTTCTGCGAGGGAGCAGAAAATAATCCCTGGAGTTCAAGGAGCAGGAGTTAACTTTACTCAATGGCTTGCAAGTAGTCTGGGCTGGAGATTCCTGGGCCTCCTCCATGTTAGAGAAAAATAAGAGTTAGGATATCGTGGTGGCGAAATCTATTCTGGAATCCAAAAGCCTCCAATAAAGGATACGTAAAAGGGGGAAGAAATAGTATGAAGCACATAGTTAACCATTAGAAATTTACAATATGGGGAACCTTGACTTAATGACCCCCCATTTATCTGACTTAGGTGCAGCAGATCAAATTTTGAGCTGGATGTCCCCTAAAATAA